GAAGGAGCTTGTTAATGAGAGTTGTGACAGTGCGCTGTATTCAGGAGGTACAGACTCCGACTCAGAGCCGTTCTGTTTGTACAAGGACGAGTCTTTGTGTCAGGTCTTATGTAAGAGCTTCTGCACTGAATGTGATGCAGCCTGGGTCTCTGCTGTTCAAGGATTTAGGCTTCAAACACAAGTTATGCTGCTTTTTGAGATTTGCGTGATAGTGTTGTCACGATTAGGGCTGGGTATCATTCAGAAGTTGCCGATATGATACATACGATACAGTGAGCTTATGATTTGATACGATTCAATACGTTCGATACGGTTCAGTAAAAAATAAAGACTAAATCATGGCTGTGATACTAAAAGTCTTTGTTAAACCACGTCCTGTTCAAAGTGAATATGAAACATACATTTTAATCATCAAAACAGTGAAAATGTCAAATGTGCCACATAAACCACTTTCCTTCCTCTGAACAAGCAGCAAAACTGTAGCTGTTACAAAATAATTTTGTGAAATATACCAAAAAATACTCTTGGTGATATATCAATACAGCAGCCCATGATATCAATACTGTATCATCACATTAAACAATACATTATATCAGTATTTCAATATTTTTGCACACCCCAAGTCATGATGATGTTAAAATTTCCAACTCAACACTAAAGACTTTTGTTACAAAGAACAGACTCAACATTTTGATATTACCAATGTCATATTCAACATTAAATTGAGGTACTTTCTTTTACATTAGTGTGAGGCCTTATACTGGTGTAATCCCACAGTCATACATAGTAGTTTTGATATTGATTTGTATTTTCAACAACAATTATGCACTTTTATGTACAAGTCCAAATGTTACCTCTGAAACTTTAATATTATCAGTCCATGTCTAAGTTTTTGCTAAGCAGGGTTGGGGCTGGTTAGTACATAGCCCCGGGATTTCAAAATGGCCGCACTTTCAAGTCAGTGGGCTGAGAAGTGAGCTTTTCTTGGCTTGTCTCCATGGAGATAGATAACATTTACATTAGTATAAACAAAACACCCAAAGCAAATCTATTATTACACCAGACTGTTGATGTAAATGCCTGTGTTGATAGTTTTATTTCAAACATTACTCTAACATTACATCGCATGAATCGTTGCATGTCGAGGGACTATTTTCTCATATATCAGTCCGCCGCTGCCAAGCTTTCTATCAGGAAGTACAACTCACTGCTGCTGCTCAGACTAGAGATGCGCGGATTGCGGTTACAACCGCGGTATCCGCGGTTAATCCGCGGGTCGGGCAGATGACGTGACGAAAAATTATATTTTAATTAAATTCGGGCGGGTGGCGGTTTAACTACTAAAAAAAAAAAAGTTATTGTTAGTATTGTTACCTACATCTGAAAAGACGAGTCTCATTGTCTATGCTTGTAGTATGAAGTGTACATCATGTCCTTAATTAGTCCATTTGACCTCGTTTTTATGTTCTGAAGGTTAAGGTTGTGTCGGGTTATTGATGCCTAAGGTTTACGAGGCACATATTATATGCAGTTTATTTTATTATTTCTAATTTATTTCAGCTATTTGCCAACACATAAGTGGCTATACGGCCATTTCGATATCAGTTATATTTTAAAACACACAGACATTATAGCGTAGACTGCCACTCGGGGGATTTAAAACTTAAAGACAGACCAATGGAGTGAGGCTATGACTTTGAAATAACATCGGGCAATGGCAGAATGTTCAGAATGTAACAACATCCAACACGAAGGCAAGAAGGTTCAAAAATAGCCTAGTCGGAAAACGTTGTCAATTAATTAGCTGCGCAAGAAAACCAGGTAAGTCTGGGGTTGTTACGGACAATTAAGAATGCGAACATACACGCTGAGCGAATTTTGGAATGAATGAGCTACAGAGTTTGCATTTTTATCGAGGCTCCTTTGTTTGTTTGCTGTATGATTGTTCTAAAATCTAGAATCAATCGGCGGATGGCGGGCGAGTGCGGTTTTGAAAACCTTCGGTGCAAAATGGACAGCGGGCGGATGATGAGTTTTGTGTCGCGGTTGCGGATGAAAAAATAGCCCATCCGCGCATCTCTAGCTCAGACATAAATCCTTCAAATGCAAGGTTGGTTTTACTTCTAAAATTATTCTATCGACACAGACATTTACATTGTGTAAACATCATGTAATAACAGATTTGCTTCGGGTGTTTTGTGGAGTGGGTAAGACTGTTTTTAGCAGTCGGCTAACTATGGCCGTTGACATGCACTAGCCTAGCACCAGCGACCTCTGCAAACACAAGGACTGGATGGAATATTTTAAAAAGTGCCTCCACACGTCTCCAACACTCTGGCCAACTAGGAAATGAGTCCGTATGTCCAAAATTCTGGACTGTCCCTTTAACAAATCAACTTGTTATTCGATATCCAGTATTGTGATGGCTCAGGATATTATTGTGAGACTTTTGACGATGCGATATCACAGTATTTTCCTACATCCTTAGTGCATACTGTTATTGTGTCTTTAAGCAAAACACTTTACCCACATTGCCTAGTATGAATGTGGTGTGTGTGTGTGTGTGTGTGTGTTGACAGTTGGCAGCCTCGCGTCAGTCAGTCTGGCTACAATAGGAACTTACCACCGCCGAGTGAATGAATGATGCACACAAAAAAAAAAAAACATTCAACAAGACTAACTATTGAAAGTTCTAAAATGTTTAAAAACCCTTGTTAATTCTGGAAACTGGATATTTAAATGATAAAACCAGACATGACACAGATTTTGTTATGAGTGACAGCTGCATTTTTCAGTTGTGTAATTCATGCTTTATTTTGGTGTTGAATTTGAGAAGCCTGAACGCCAATACCTGCTCTGTGTGTGTGTCAGTGTGTCTGCGTGTGTGTGTGCGTTTAGCGGACAGGACAGTGTGAGCATCAGGTTGCTTCTCTCAGTCTGTGGCGGTGAGCTCAGTTGGATGGGAGGATGTGCAGCATGTGTGACCGAGCGGAGGGGAAGAATGACAGTTAAGGAAATATCACAAAGGAAATGGAGGGAGACAACTGGGCTTTCATTGTGGGTAAGAAAACAGATATTTAGTGTCTGTTAAAGTGGATTAGAAGTTAAAATGATTGGTGGAGATAGTAATTGTGGACAATTTAGTTACGGTTGGCTGAATTTTATTGACGTGCTGTCTTGATGTTGTACAGTACTGTGACTTCACCATTACTTTTTCAAATAAGTTCCAAGTTGGAAAAGAAAATACTTGCTCTTAAAGTTCATAGAGTTCCTAGATTGTGGTTCCAAATTGGTGCCGGTATTTTTCACTTCTTGAAAATCATAGTTCAGGGCAGTTTTGGGGATTATTGCGGTACAGCAGTGAAGTATTTAACTGTCCTTCCTAACTATAAGAAGGTCCTGAGTTGTGTGTGGAATTTTATGTTCAATCTGTGTTTATACTTTTAAATGTGTATCCTCCAGCTAGGTACTCCTTGATTCTGACTATTAACCTGTAGCTCAAGATCTAGAGATGGGTAACTTGTCTATGTAACTTTTCTTGTGGAGGGTCAGCTACCTGATTGTCTCCATGAAGATGTTATTGCTTTGCCTGGAATGTTTCATAGTATGGCATTACAATATATTCATTTGTTCCATTACAAGTATTTAATTCCTACTAAAATACCTTGAAAACGAGCATCGTTACTGCGAGCGGGGTCACCTCTTGAACGGATCTGTTCTGTAACCTGGTCTGGTGGCGTCAATTGCGTTTCTCCATCGAGATAGACAAGTTTAATGCCCTACAGTGGAACATTCCAGGTTAAGCATACACGTAATAATATCTCCATGGAAACAAAACGGCACGGGAGATTTAACCAGAAAAGTTACAGAAACATTGCGCCTTTTAAAAATTTGCACTATTTCTATGAGCAGTGTTACCTCTCCACATATCTGATATGTAACCTGGTTTGGTGGCATTACTTGCTTGTCTCCATGGAGATAGACAAGTTCGATACCATACAGTGGATTATTTCAGCCAAAGCAAGAAGATCTCCATGGAAACAAATAAGTGACAGCTCCTTCACCAGAAAAGATATACAGTGCATCTTTAAAATTTTGCATTATTTCTATGAGCAGTGTTGCCTCTCCATGAATCTGATCTGTAACTTGATTTTCGTGGAATTACCTGCTTGTTTCCATGGAGATAGATAAGTTGACAAGATGCCATACTGTGGGTTATTCCTGTCCAAAGTAATAATATCTCCACGGATACAAGCAAGTAGCAGTAAAAAGTTAGTCATCTTTTGCATCTTCAAAGCTGCACTATAACTTTTTGGTTGGGGGTTTGCTACCTGCTTCATTCTTTAGATTTGTCATTGCTCTGCCTGGAATGTTCCGCAGTATGACATTAAACAGCTCTACCTTGCATTTTTTCAATTACAGGTGGTTTTATAGCTCAAAAATACCAAGAAAAACTGACAAAAAAAACTGACTGTAAGCGGGGTTGTCTCTCCACAGATCTGACATATAACTTTGTTTGGTCTCCATGATGATAGAAAGGTTTAATGCCATACTGTGAAACAATCTAGGCAAAACAAAAACAACACCATGAAGAAAAGCATTTGATGGAAAAGTTACTCAGTGCATCTTTAAATACTTTCCCATTCTGAGACCAGACACTGAATTAGACTCAATCCATAGCGGCCTGATTGCTTATTCATATGCTTATTGACCCTCCTCTAATGTATCACAAGAAGGTGTCTGGATTTTACAAGGCTCTCCATCCTTGCTCTGTGCGGATGGCGAGCGCAGTTTTAGCAGTGAACAGTTTTTGGCGTCTGGATCAATGTGGCCAGAGCTGTTCAATAATGCATGAAGTCAAAGCTTTTATCTGTGAGAGGATGCAGGCCAGCTGATCTAACCTTCACTCCACCAATAAGAGTTACACCTCCTACAAAGTACTTATGTAGTGTTACCGGTGGCAGTAATTGATCGATTTTTTTTTTTTCTTTTGCTTCTAGGATTGAAAAAACGTACCAGGAAGGCCTTCGGGATACGGAAGAAAGAGAAGGACAATGACTCCACGTAAGTTATGTTTTCAAAAGAGTGGTTTGTGTGCAGGATGTGTAGTTGGGGAGGGTTTATTGTTGCTTTGCTTCACTGCTGATGGCTGCAGATGCTGGGTTTTAGTTTGTGAAGATCCAAATCAGATCAGAGTCCTTTTTAAGTTTATTTCCAAATGATTTTAATCATTGGATCTGGCAAACCAAATGATGGACTCTTGGAAGGCACATTCAGCTTTCTGATTGGATAATTGTCTTTAAGACCAAAACAATACTTTTAATAGCCGCAGTGGTACTTTATAATAGAGACTGTTTTTTTAAGAGAATCTTTTCTTTTTCGTCTTTTATTGTTGTTGTTGTTGGAAACACTGAACATTCATTCATCTACTGTAACTTAGAGCTAGACACCTGATTTGCAACCCGTGAATGCAAACCGTTGCTTTAACTTGTTTCTAGCTCTCAAAAATCCTTTGGCACATCGCTATAGTATGCACATAAATTAATCAAATGAGCACGTACACCAACTTTTCCGAATAAGAAATATAATAGGCATTAGGGATGGGACAAGATCTTGTGCCTCAAGCAAGAAAAAATCAGCACAAGACTGCGCACATGTCCTGAAAATGATCTTGTGAGATTTCTTTCCCCATGTTTTTGGACTGGATAAAAGTTATTTATTCACTATCAAGTCAAAATCTCATCTTGTCTTGTTCTCGTAGATCCAGATCATGTCTTGTCTCGTGTTGTGGAAATTATATCTTGTCCCACCCCGAATCGGCATACATGCAAAACCCTAAATACAAATGTTATCAAATAATCAGAGTATTAAATGACAGTGACAGTGTTTTGAAATGTTCTCACTGGTAAATGCTCTTGTGGTGAGAGCTTCATGCCAGAGGAGAGGGGCTCAATTCGTGTCCAGGGTGAAGGGTCAGCTGAGTGTTGGATGCTAACAGATCCAGCTTTTACAAAGATGCGATTGTCTATGATTATATTTACTTCAATTTTTCATTCATTTCATTCAACTGATTACTAAATGCGATATATTGCTGAAGAAAATATAAACGCTAATACTGAAACTGATTTATACTGTCTCAGAAACATACCTGGAGTTGTTTTGTTTATCCTGGTTAATCCTCAAAATGCTCTGTTCCACCTTGTGATGTCATGACGCATTAGTTTTCATGTTAACAGCTACAGCTTTTTACCTTTATTTCAGTACAAGTTGGCAATTCCAAGGCTGAAATTATCCAAATGATTCTAGTGAAGGTATATGGAGTTTAAAAAGACACACCACCACAAGACACCTGTATTACCACATGACATCACAAGGTGGAACAGTGTTATGTGTTTGAGAGAAGAACTCAGCCTAAATATGCAGGGTTTGTGCGTTAAACATGTGTGAATGAAACAAAACACAACGCCAGGTCTGTTTGTGATGAAAAAACAACATTATAACATAGATCAGAAAATAGCATAATATTTATTTTCCTTTAAATATGAAACCTATTATTTGCTATTTCAATTTAACAGTTTTCCACTCTCTCTTAGATATAAAATATTAGTTTGGATAACATATTTTGTGACAGTATTCACTAGGGGTGGGCGATATCTCGATATTTTTAATATATCGAGATTTTTTAAAAACTCGATATGAATTCTGACATATCGTATATATCGATATAATGCTTATATTCAATTTTGATTTCGCCGCTTTGCTTGTTTGTTTCTCTGTCGCCGCCCGCGCGCCCCCGCCTCCCTGATTTTGTTCGCTGTGTCTCCTTCACTCGTCACTATCGCCGTGAACGCCGAAAGTTGCTGCCAGTGAAAAGCTTCTAGCGCCACGAAACTTTTCCACCATTTACAGACAAGAACATCAGCAGCACATCCTCACATTCCACCGAGTCATGTCCTTTAGTCCAAAAGAAGTTGAACCGCAAGAGCGGCACGTGGAGTGCGCTGTTTATGCAAATTAGCCATGCGCTTTTTAAGTTTTGTTTCTGTAAAACGTAAACAAGTCTGCGCAAAGCTGCAAAAAAAAAATAAAATAAAAATAACATAAAATAAAATAATTAACACTATAATCTCAAACGGGCTGATGTGGCTCTATAGTCGTTATGCTGTATATCTTGTAAAGTTTAGTAATGTAAATTCTATTTATGCAGAAGATTTTAATGAATAATCTGTTGCAGTGTCACTTGTCCAAAAGTGTTGGCATATTTGTTTTTGCAGTTTTCCGTTTTAGAGGGTTATTTTTTCCTGTACAGATATCGAGATATATATCGTATATCGAGATATATTTTTTGATCCATATCGCCCAGCCCTAGTATTCACTATACTTTTGCCTCAAGTTATTCCACGTAATCAGAATATTAAACAGCTTTTTAATGAGAGCTTTTCAAATAATTAGCCGAGCACTTGAACTTGATTTCTATGATTAAATGAGCCACTAATATGTTCCAATTTCCTTCTCTTTGTCACAGGGGGTCCCCAGACAGAGAAGGGGTGAGTGACTGAAAACATTTAAACTCCTCATCACATTCATTCATTAAATCTTCATTATAAGAAATCTGACAACTGTTTTCATATCTGCCAGGAGCCTCAAGAGGTTGAATCGGTACTGACTACAGCTCTTAATGAGAATAGATTTTCCATTAGAAATCTGTACCACTGCTTCACTTTAGATCACCTTGTTCATTATTCACCCTCCAGACTCAGTAAAGCCTGTTTAAAAACCCAAGAACTAGCATTTTTCTTAGACACCCATATCCTTGAATTATAGTCGTAGAAGTAGCAGTAGTATCTGTAATAATGAAAACAATATATTAGAACTAACATATTATACATTCATAGGTTAGAAACACAATTTTGTCTCCTTTTTAGTCACAGAGGAAGACGAATGGGGCCCCAAATGGCTTTTACGGCGAAATCGACTGGGAAAGATATGTAAGTATATTAAAGCTGCACTATGTAACTTTTGCCTGTTTGTCTCCATAGAGATGTTGTTGCTTTGCCTGGAATGTTCCACAATCTGAGATCAAGCTTATCTGTCTTGCATTTTACCAGTTACATGTATTTTTATTGCTAAACACATCCTGAAAAACATGCATTCTTACTGTGAATACTGTGAGTCTTGCTGCTCCACAGATCTGACCTGTCACTTGGCTTGTCTCCATGGTGATAGTTTTTTTAATGACATACTCTGGAACATTTTTGAGCCACAGCATAAAAACGCCTTGTGCTCAATGTGCTGAATGATGCAGAATATACAATTTTATCCATTTTAATCTTTTTTTGTTTGTTTGTTTTTTCAGAACTCTCCAGAGGTCGATGACGAGGGTTACAGCATAAGACCCGATGAAGAGGAAGAGGAGGGAGATATCCTTTACGTTAGACACCATATATTCTACTAACATTTAACAAATAAGACAAATAAGAAAGGTACAATAACTACTCGGGGGATTGTATGACTTATAAACTCAGTAATGTTATAATGTTGCCATAGCAGTTAATAATTCACAACAAAATATTTCTCTAATAAATCTTTTGACTAGTGAAAGGTACTCAAAATGGCACCTATAAACAGGAAGAAACACATGACTACATTTGTTAGGAAAAATATCTCCTGTGTTGGCTTACACAGGTCGTGGTGAAGAGAAACAGATGGAGAGGCTCAGATGATAAGTGCTTTTGCTGTTGCGGAGGAGGAGGGTTTCTGCATAGATTTTGGCTGGCTTGGAGGTTTATGTCATTATCTTATTTGTTTATCCATAGGTGTCGGAATGATCAAAAAATAATTATTGCTATACCGGTTACAGTTTTAAACAAGATTTGATGCTGCACTGAATGGCTATTAGTCCTGAAAATGTCACCTATTACAGGAAGCTTGTGGTGCATTCGTTTATCCATCCGACTCCGAGGACGTTACCTAGCGACATGCACTGACACGCCCCTCAGAACTCAGAAGAGTTTCCGAGATAGAATCCAATGGCTGTTGCCAGTGTCACTTGTAGTATTTGTGTTTGGACGCTTTGGTGGTTTAAATTACAATTTCAGTCACTCATATTACTGCAGTACCTTACTGAATCTGTATTACTGCAGTACCTTGCTGCGTCTGTATCACTGCCAGTTTGGGTTTGGGTTTGGTAGTCGGTGTCATCCATGTTTTTAGCCCATTTCCTACTAACGTGGCAAAATGATCTACTATCACACAACATTAACGCTTTCACTTCACTAATATACTGAATTATAGTGTTTACATATACTAAATTCTTCCTTGGGGTTGTGTAGCTGAAGTGCATACTTATTTGGAGCGCCTCGTACTTGACCAATGCTATACAGTTTTCCGGTTAGCATCCATATTTTTCTCAGAGTTAGACACACAAAATATAATAAAACAGTTGAAGTGTGGACATGATGTCATATCCGAGATCCGAGTGGGAGACTATTGGATATACGAACACTGCATAAAACCTATTGATACCTGACAAGACAAGAAATAGGGTTTAAAAATAATTCTTAGTTTTATTTACAAACTGAAGTAGCATTAACAACTCCCAATATCATTTTCCTTAACCATGTGTTCCCACCTGCTCCCAAGAAGACACACTTTTTCTCCTCAGATGAATCGGAGGAGGAGGAGGAGCAGAGAAGAAAGTTTAAAATCAAGATTAAGCCCCTCCCACCTGATTGCGTCATCTCAGCGCCCACAGTGGACGAGCTCAAGGCGTCCATAGGGAACATAGCCCTGTCCCCCTCTCTGGTTAGTAACACCACTCTCATTCACTCTAACAGGATTCAGCTATTTGTGTGTTCTACATGTATCTTTATTGGTGGAATGTTCATCAGTTACCATGGCGACACAATGCACACATTAGCAAACATAGACGAAAAGTTTTAAGATTATCTACAAACTCAAGAAAAAAATACAAAATAAAATTAAAGGTGCACTATGTAATTTTTTCCTGCTTGTTTCCATGGATATGCCATTGCTCCGCCTGGAATGTTCCACAGTATGACACTAACTTACGTTTATTCAATTACAGGTGGTTTTATAGCTCAAAAATACCTACAGAAACATGTAGACGCCATCTGTAATTGTGATCGGGGTTGCCTCTCCACAGATCTGACGTGTAACTTCGTCTGGTTTGGCCTGCGGGGCGATAGAAAGGTTTAATGCCATACTGTGAAACATTCCAGGTGAAGCAATAACATCTTCACGGAGAAAAGCATCTGCCGGACTCTCAGCTGTAAAAGTTACACAATGCACCTTTAAACAACACATTTTCAGGAGCCTGTGATCAGTACGAGCGTTCGTGGTCCTGTTTAGGTGTTTGATTTTCAACAAAAAGGTGAGAGTGACTAACTGAAAAACGCTTGTGACTAATATTATGTGTGAGAGACTAATTTAAGCGTAAAAATCATCTCACATGTTGTAGTTCCAACTGAATAAACCTCTTTCTGGTCACACTGTTAAAACAAAGTTCAGATTAAAGTCTAACCTGAGTAACAGTGCTTTCAGTTGGCATCACACCAGGGAATGTTGTTGGCATCCGCTGCAAAGTATGAATAGGTGACTTTGCATGTTTTCTTCCTGCTTATACCAATAACTAGAAAACAAAAACTAGGCCTGGGGAAAATGGCGATAAAAAGTGAATTGTGATCTTCTTCTTCCTGTGCTGTTTTGGAGAAAGCGGCATATCCTCATTCAGTGCTTCGACTCAGAGACATTTTTCTGAACCCTCTCCTTCTATTTGTCTTATTTGCTTTTATGGACTATGAAGCAAAGGAAAGATATTAAAGGTGCACTGTTTAACTTCGCAACCTGTTTGTCTTCATTAAGATGTTAATGCTTTGGTTTAAATTGTCCACAGTATGGCATTAAACTAATCTGTCTAATTTATTCAACTTCATATGTTATTTATTGCTTAAAAATATCTTTAAAAACATATATTATTACTGTTAGCAGCCTGTAATCTTACCTGTAATTTGGCTTGCAAGTTTCCACGGCGATTATTTTTTTATGGCCATACTGCGGGATATTCTAGGCACATCTCCATGGAGACAAGCAGATGACGGAGCCTCCCGCAGTTGCACATTACACAGTGCACCTTTAAATATGTGAAATCTGAATTTTAAAAAAAGGTTTTGAGTTCAGAATTTGTGAATTTGAGAGAGCTAAATGAACACAAAAATTACAACTCACATTACAGCATGTTTGCAGGAGTTACATAACAAAGGAATATTTATTTCTTTTCTGAATGATTCTCTTGTTGTTTATGTTATAATTTGGTGTTTTGGTTCTCATGACGATTATCTGATCAGAAACAGAATGAGCCTCACATGAGTCTCTTGTTTGGGTTGCCAGTTTCAATGGTAAAATCTAGTTGTTTTAATTTAGACTTTAATTTAGACAAACTTTATTGATCCACAAGGGAAATTACTTTGGCACAGTAGCTCACACATCATAATATATAATAACAAAAGAGAAATGATAATAATATGAAATTCTAAAAAATAAGAAGCAAAAATAACAAGAGACTGGTGTTAAATAAAGCATAATTATATAAATGTATAATAAAATATAGTTTGATTATATCTGAATGGTCACTACCTAAACCCCAGCACCTTCAACAAATCATTAATAGTGGGAGTTACAGTTTATAAAATGTAGTCTACTATATAAACAGAGTGGATTGTATTGGATTAGACTTTGCCCAAAGAGCTGCATGATTTATTTAACCATCCAGTTTTGATTCCATGTGTGTATCTTTTGCAACTTTTTGGTTGGGGTCCATCACCTGCTTGTTTCTATGGGTACGTCACTGCTCTGCCTGGAATGTTCCACAGTATGACACTAAACAAATCTACTTTACATTTATTCAATTACAGGTGATTTTATTGTTTCAAAAATACCTAAAAAACATTCTGACTATGAGTAGGGTTGACTCTCCACAGATCTGACCTGTAACTTGGTCTGGTCTGGTCTCCATGAAGATGGAAAGGTTTAAAGCCACACTGAAATATTCCAGACAAAGCAATAACAACTCCATTGTGAAAGCATTTGAAGGACCCTCCAACAGAAAAGTTACACAACACAACTTTAACGGTAAATAACGTCTGATTCACGTATTTTAATGATGATCAGAGCTTTGTTAGTAGCTTGTTTTTAACACGAGGCAGATGTCCGACCACAACACCACCCCTCTGACAGTGAACGCTGCCAAATCGCAGGGTGCAAAGCTCTTGTTTAAAGTGACGCAGCTCTGTTCAGTCCAGATTCAGGACTTGGACTGCTTTTGCCCAGAACAATACAATAGAACAAACTACAGCTGCATTTTTATTACCTCCCATATCCCTATTTCCTCTTTTCTTTGGCGAGTCTTAGCTTCAGTGACCTGGGTAAATAATTCAAGTAGGAAAGTGGGCACAATAGTCATGTGTCTGTTTGTGGTCATTTGAGCTCCTGCCCTCAATAATTCAGTTCACTAGCAGCACTACAGACTGTGCTAAGCTAACCAAGTGTGAGGGAGGTTTCTATGGCCAACTACTGTACAAGAGTTTTATTTTAAAGGTGCACTGTGTAACTATTGGGTTAGGGGTCTATCATTTGCTTGTTTATGTTATATAATATGTTGTTGCTTTGCCTCGAATGCTCCACAGTATGACATTAAACAGCTCTAATTTACATTTATTAAATTACAGGTGGAGAAAAAAAAAAAAAAGGTGTTCTGACTGTGAGTGGGGTCACCTATCCACAGATCTGACCTGCAACTTAGTCTGGTTTGGTGTCCGTGAAGATAGAAAGGTTTAATACCATACTGTAAAACATTCCAGACAAAGCAATAACGTCTCCACCAGCGACGTTACACAATGCATCTTTAAATAAACATAAACAAGGCCAAGCTCTTCTCCCAGATACAGGGTAAATATGTTCAAATATTGCTTATTTATTCTTAATCACAAAATGGGTATGATGGCATTGTTGTTTATGTTATAATTTGGTGTTTAGGTTCTCAAGACCGTTATCAAATCAGAAAGCAGAATGAGCCTCACATAAGTTTCTCATGTCTCTCTTGGGTTGCTAGTTTCAAAGCTGAAATCCAGTTGTTTTAACATTAAAGGACTCTGTGATCTGCAGCCAAACACCAGCCTTGCTCAGTGAGTGAATTCTAGAGATTCTGGACCATATACTTAGCCAGGCTGGTGCCACCTAGTGCCTCCGCTCAATTTAATTTCTCTCCAGCAACTAGGTCAGGAATCAAAATACACTAGATGATTCACAAAAACCCCAGAAGTGCGAGTTCTAGCACCAGCCAATCAGCGAAGAGTCATGCATTCTCTGTTTGCAACGATTCCTGAGATCGAGGATTTAAAGCTGGAACAAAGAGAATGTTTGGTGAATTTTATCAAGGAGAAAGACGTTATTGTCCTTCTTCCTACGGGATTTGGGAAAAGCTTAATATAACAGTTAGCCCCGTTAGCGGTGCATTACATGTACGTCATGACCAAATAGCAGCGACTGATTAAATGAAAAAAGTACCCACCTACCGTTGAGCGAACAAATTCTAACTTTGCAAGGTCAGACAATTTCTACGAAGTGAAACTGTCTGATGAATCAGGCTACCATTTACTGAGAATGAGAAAAACTTGTATGTGTCTCTCTTTCCTGCAGGTTAAGGTACTGGCTGGTTTCAGTTGTGATTATACTTCCTTTTTAAGAACTGTAAGAGCTCAGGCTTCATCCAGTTCCTTTAAGTTGATTCCTCCATGGCATCTCTAGTCCACTAATGCTTCAATACAGAGGTTTTATAATGACATATTTCTGTCAAATTTATTCACCCCAGTGTTACAGTAAAATGTTAAAAGTGCAAAGGAGCCTGTGTTTTCCTGGACAGAACACAGTTACTTCATTTCAGCCTCTCATAAATTGTCCCATTCACACAGTTTCTATTAGCAACCCCCAGCCCTGCACAGACACTAATTTAACTGTCTAATAAAAGAGAGCGGAGGGGGCTAAAGTTCACAGGATTCTCAGAAAAAAACATCTTAGTTTTTCAAAATTTTCTACCCAATTTTGTTTTTCAAGACAAAACTAACTGCAGACTTGTTTGAAGGTGCATTTCTTTGTAGAGAACTTTTTGGTTGGGTGGTTTAAAGGTGCACTATGTAACTCTTTTACTGGGGGTCTGTCACCTGTGTGTTTCTACGGAGATGCCATTGTTCTGCCTGGAATGTTCCACAGTGTGACATAACAGCTCTACTTTATGTTTATTCAATTAGAGCTTGTTTAATAGCTCAAAAATACTTCAAAAAACAGGCATTCTGACTGTGAGCGGGGTTGAATTTCCACAGATCTGACCTGTAAAAGTTTAACACCATATTGTGAAACATTCTAGACAAAAGCAATAACATCTCCATGGAGAAAAGCATTTGATGGACCCTCTACTAGACAAGTTACATAATGCATCTTTAACTGTTCTATTCACACACAAATATAAAATAATAACAAAGAGTGAATAAATGGTAATTCCACTGTTATTACATGGGGTTGGTGATGGGGCTGATGGTGTTTTAACCAATATTAATTCCTGAATGCTACTTTGCTTTGCAGTTGTATTGTATATTTAAATGCTCTTTTCTAATTCTCTTTTTCTTTGTGCTTGTTTTTGTGTTTTGTTTTGTTTTTTGCTTTCACTAATGATGCTAACCTGTAGAGGAGTCCGGTAAGAATGGCTTTGCCTGCTGTTAACCTAAAGTGCTTCTAAACTTTGTTGTTACTGACCATGACATTTACTCACTGTATGTTTTTTAAGGTAACAGCTAATTTATCAGACACGGGCACTTCAATTGGAAAGGTTTTAGTGAGATTTTATGATTGTAGCAGAGCATTGTGAGAATTGTAGTTTGGTTACTCAGATCAAATGAGCACACTTCCACATCTACAGAGTTAATTTTTCATGAATTTTATATTTATTTTTGCCAGGTAAGGTCTTAAATATTTAGTTAACTTCAAAATTTAAAGAAAAAATATAGCTTTTTTATTACTTAGTTTTATTAAGAATGACTCGTGCTTTGTCTGAAATTTTCCACAGTATGGTATTAAAGTGATCTGTTTTTATTACTTTTGCCTGTGCTTTTATTGTTACAAAACATAGATCTGACCTGTAACTTTGTCTGCTTGTATGTATATGTAAATGGATAAGTTTATTGCTATACTGTGAAACATTACAGGCAAAGCAATAACATTTCCATGATGAAGAACAGGGAGCAGCAGATCCTCCATTAAAAAACTTACACAGTGCAGCTTTAAGATTTAACATGCTCAAGTTAATAATTAGAACGATACAGTTCAAAATATATTAAACTGTAATTTTCCTACAAATCCATCCAATGAACTGAGAGGATCTGTGGTGCTGGTCCCGCCCGGTTATTACATCACTGTGATCATCACGGCTCACTGCACAACTGGAACATGAGCTCAGTCGGGTCTATAATGTCCACAGATATGAACAGAGGAGGGAGGGGCAGGAGGGGGCAAAATGAGACACTGGGTATTACACTGCAGATTTTCATACTGGGAAAGAGAGTATACAGTAACTCTTAGTAACCCATTAGAAGATCATAATTAAGACAGAAATCTCACTTAACTAAATGTAGTGGTAATTACATAATAATATTACTCTTAAAAAACAGCAAACTATATACTCAGGTAAAATAATATGTACACATTTTAAGAAAGAAATATACTACAGACAACCCAACCAAGGCTATGGTTTAAGTAGCCAGCAATCCTACTCAAGATATTATCCTCAAATAGAAGATTACGTTTAACATTTTTGGTGATGGGTCTGCCACCTCCTTGTCTCATAAAGATGTGGCTGTTTGCTTTGCCTTGAATTTTCCACTGAATGGCATTAAATGTCCTTCTTGCATTTTTTTTCAGTTATAGTTGATTTTACTGCTTAAAAAAATGCTCTCTTAAACTTACATTACGGCATGAGCAAACTAGACAGAAAGTATTGTGGAGGGCCGGGCCAAAATTTTTAATGTTCAATTCTGCATAATATTAATTGCATTTCTTTATTAAAAAAAACAAACAAACAAACAAAAAAACAGTGACAAGCTGGTAAGACTAGTAAGAGTTAGGACTAAGCAATGAAAAAGTGAATGAAAAAGCCTTACAAAAAATGTCATTTAAAACACCTCTAAAATAAAAGCCATGCAGCTTTTGTCCATGCATGAGGTAAAATGATAAAATATGTTTATTTTATAATTCCAAATGAGCTTATTAGAGTCAATCATGGTGCTGTATGTGGCCTCAGAGCTGTACAATGCCCAGGTCTGCTTTAGACGGATACTTTTGTGGAGAATTTTAGGCAAAGCAATGATCTCCATGGAGATATGAAGCAGTCTCTCAGGGTCTGTTCATAAGAAATAATAATACAGACTATAGTTTCTTAAGAACAGACCCTGACAGACCTGATCGTGTATCATATATAAACTATCCTGCACAATATTAGTGGAAGACCTAATGAACCTTAATGGAGTCTTGATATATGAATGTGCCGAACCCCACACCAGAAAAAGTTACATATAAAGCAACTTTCAAGTACAATTGCTTCAAGTACTAAAATTAACCTAGATTATATCAAATTACTGCCTCCGTAGTATCAATCGCCCACATTAAAGCCTATTAGTACAACACAGGCCAGAGCACACCGTGACTGAGCACAGTATGTAACTGATTTGTCACTCTCTGACCAGGTGTCTCTTCTCTCTTCCCTTTTGCTGGTCACAGAGACGCAGCCCGGTGAGTCCATTTTTCTTTCTCTCTCTTCTCATCTTCTGCTCCCCTTAAAATGTCTTTCCTCGGACTAAACCTGAAGAGATGGGTTCAGACTGTTACCTAACGTGGGTTTATGCCTGAGCCTGTGGAGGTTGTCGTATGGAGTATCTGATTTGCACTTTTGACAGCTGGTTCTTTGAAGTCTTACCTCCCCATAGTGGTGTCTCTCTCTCTTCCTGTCGTGTCCAATCTCCTCCTTTACTTATGTAGCCTTTTTATGTGATGTTTATGTCTTCAGTATTTCCTCTGGTAGAATCTGTTCCCCTATACTTCATGTTTTTCCACTGTTTATGTTCAATCTACTGGTGTTTGCAGAAAGTACGTCATGTATTTTCATAATGGCTTTAACGTTAATGTATGTTGTGAGCTTGCAATACTCGAAATGTCACAATAATATGGTAATAATGTTATGCCAAATTACAGCCAGTTGTATTTAAATGTATTTACAATGGGGTCTTATAGAGATAGAAATATCAAGAAATCTTAACGGTGCATGTGTAACTTTTTTGTTCGAGGGTCTGTCAAATTCTTTTCTCCATAGAGATCTACAGTCCCTGACAAAAGTCTTGTTGCTTATCCATTTTGTAGAAACAAAAGCTTATAACCTGACTTTAAATTAATCGATTGGTTTTAGAAATGTCTCATATGAAAGCTAAAACCCTCCCAAATTATGCTCAATATACTAAAATAAATTTGCTTCACTGAAGAAAGATTGATCATTTAATGAACACAGAAAGGTCAGATTTTGGCAAGACAAAAGTTTGTCGCCTACAGAAAATTGAACAAATAATTTACTTCAAATACAAAAATATTTAGCGTAAAGTCAGTGAATGAAGTAGTGGTGCTGTGAGATCCATATTTAATATCTTGTATGACTTCCATGAGCTTGAAGGACGCATCCATGCAGTTCGACAATGATTCATACAATTAGTTGATGAAGTCATCAGGAATAGCAAAGAAAGCGTCTTACATGCCTCCCAGAGTTCATCAAGATTCTTTGGTTTTGCCTTCCATGCTTCCTCTTTCATTCTACCCCAGACATGCTCAATGATGTTCATGTCTGGTGACTGGGCTGGCCAGTCCTGGAGCACCTTCATCTTCTTCACCTTGAGAAACTTTGATGTAGAGATAGAAGTATGCGATGGAGCACCATCCTGCTGCAAAATTTGACCCCTTTTATGGTTGGGAATGTAAGAGGAGCTAATACTTCTTGATATTTTAGGCTATTGATATTGCCTTCCACCCTGCAAATGTCTCGCACACCCCCATACTGGATGGAACCCCAGACCATGATTTTTCCGCCACCAAACTTAACTGTTTTCTGGGTGAATCTTGGATCCATGCGGGCTCCAGTAGGTCTCCTGCAATATTTGTGGCGGCTGTGATGTAATTCAACCGAGGATTCATCTGAGAAAATCCACCTTCTGCCACTTTTCCAGTGTCCATCCTTTTAGCAGGCTGTGGGCCTTGGCAAATGCCACATGGTTTTTTAATTGCCTTTTGTTTAGTGCTGGTTTCTGTGCACTGATTCGACCATGGAGGCCATTTCGAGACAGAATTCTACAAACTGTTGTGGTTGACACAGGGACTTGAGGTGACCAGGCCTGGTGGAGTCTGCTGCAGTGGAAAAGGGGCTGGCCTTGGATTTTTGAATCAACAAACGGTCCTCCCGAGCAGTTGTCTTGCGGGGTCTGCCGGACCTGGGCTTGTCAAAAACATCTCCAGTCATTTCAGATCTTTTTCTTATTCTTTGTACTTGACGCTGAGACACATTGAAGGTGTCACCACCTCAGCAGTGGATCTGGTCTTCAGCCTCTTGATAATTAAGGCTTTGGTCTCAGGGTGGATCTTAGGCATGTTGTCAGAGGTCAAGTTGCAGTTGATGTGAAGGTCTGGTGTGCTGGGGTTCTTTTTATACACACCCACTAATTGATTGATCAGTAACTGATCACAGGTGAGGCTGTAATCTAGGATTGGGTGCATCATATGACAAGGCGACAAGACTTTTGTCTTGCCAAAATCTGACCTTTCTGTGTTCATTAAATGATCAATCTTTCTTCAGTGAAGCAAATTTATTTTAGTATATTGAGCATAATTTGGGAGGGTTTTAGCTTTCATATGAGACATTTCTAAAACCAATCGATTAATTTAAAGTCAGGTTATAAGCTTTTGTTTCTACAAAATGGATAAGCGACAAGACTTTTGTCAGGGACTGTATCTTATTGCTTTGTCTGGAATGTGTCACAGTATGGCATTAAACCTTTCTATCTTCACTGAGACCAAACCAGACCAAATTACAGGTCAGATCTGTGGAGAGGTGACCCGTTCACAGTCAGAATGCCTCTTTTTCTAGGTATTTTTGAGCTATAATACCACCTGTAGTTGAATAAATGGAAGATAGATCTGTTTAATGTCATAGAAACAAGCAGGTGATGGACCCTCCACCAGAAAGTTACATGATGCACCTTTTATATATTACGTGTACAAGTTTTTTAATTGTCAAATGTAACCAGACTGACCAACAATCAACATATACATATAGATACACTGAATGAATTTGTTGCTCAGTTTTATTGCATCAAAAATTTCATTATCATCATTTTTTAATCATAACCTTTTAAAATACGACACTAATGATTGCACTAAAGACTCAACAGAAGACTTTTATTGAAAAAAGGATAGCATCTCTGTAATACTTCTCCCCATTATCCCATTTTCGGTATAATTTTATGTTACATAGAAAATACTGACATTCATTTCTTTGTCTATTTCCCCATTACAGGGTTTGAATAGGAACACATCCAGTAAGTATTACCCTGGCCAATTTTATTCGCATTACAAATGATACAAACCGCATTTTCTTCTTTTATTTATTTATTTATTTATATAAAATTACAGATGACGATATTGTGCGGCCTCGGCGTGTGGTCACTCTCCCCCCTATTGCAGCTCCTTCACCAGCTCCAGCTCCAGCTCCTCAGCCTCCCAGGTAACTCTATTTATTTTATTTATTTATTTATTTATCTAAATATGAATTCATGATTTAACCTACGAATAATGCCTTTGCAGCAGTCAGTCTCCTGTTACAGAGGACACTATAGCCTTATTTGGGCCTCCTTTTGAAACAGCCTTCGGAGAACAGAAAACTGAAGGTAAAATATTAAACAGTTGTTATATTATATTCTGATAAACTGAAAAACTGGATTATCTAGCCTAATTGCTTTTTTCTTTCACTATATCTTGGTCTTATTATGTTATTTACCTATCTCTGTAACATGTAACACACTTGGTTTTTAAGTATTAAAGCTACAAAAGGGAGAAGAAAGCAGCATTAAGTGTAATCTCCTCACTCTGGTGTCAGATAATTTAGCTTGGAATGAAAAGAAATATTTTTTGTCAAATTAAATTACATAATAACCTCTTATGAACAGATGTTGAATATTAGAATATAATCAAACAATGCATCTGGTTGGTTCTATGTAACCGCTATGCCCATATCGGCTAATAAATAAAGGTCCGCCATAATGTTGTTTCCTTGGCCTGAGTTCTTCTCTCAAACAGAAAACACTCCGTTCCAACTTGTGACGTCATGTGGTAATACAGGAAGTGCTCTCATGTGTTTTTATACTCCATACACCTTCAGTAGAATCATTTGGATCATTTCAGACCTAGAGTTGTCAATCTCAACTAAATAAAACTTGAAAGCGCTTTGTGTTGCATTTGTATGAAAAGCGCTCTATAAATAAAGTTTGACTGATTGATTGATTGACTACCGCTTCATGACATCACAAGGTGGTACAGAGCATTTTGGGCTTTGGAGATGTACACTGCCCAATAATACAGGGCTGCTAAAACAAACAACTCCAAGTATGGTTTTGATGATGGAACATTATAACATGCCTTAAATCTCATGAGAGTCCCTTTTTACGTAATATAGGACCTTTGAATCTTGAAATCACCCTTTTTGTAGGATAGAAGACACACACTTTTAGTAGTTTTAAAAGCCATCAATTACTATTCCTGTTTGATGTCAACATTTCAGTTCAGTGTATTTTTGTATAGCCCAAAATCACAACAGTAGTCGCCTAGTCGGACTTCTCAGAATTAATGATTTAACCAATGGCGAAAGTTAGAAAATCAAACAGTGAAGCAGTCATTGGTCAATAAGAAACAGATTAACCATATTCACAGGACACTAGTAAATGAATAACTGTCCCATAGCGCCCCCTGTCTGTAGACCACCCTTCTCAGCAGGAAAAAAAATTTAAACAAAAAGCACTTGTAAATATGAGGTCAGAGTTGAAGTTAGCACCTAAAGGCCCCGCCAACAGCACAGTGCTCTTAGTTTATATAAGCAGATTCTCTTGTCACCCACTTTTATCAGGCCGTGTCAGATTTAGCGCTGCTCGGTGCGTTTGGCTGTAGCTGTTATGTAACTGTTCTGTGAGGCGAAGCTAACTACATCCTGACACAAATTCATGTTTTCATTCCATTCAAGGCAGCCGTGTTACCATGACAGACAGTGAACTCTACTAAAGAGGTTTTAATATAGAGAGGAATATAGAGTGTTTGCATAAATGTGGACTGAGATATTTGCAAAACATGTAAAATCAGGTTGTAAAGTAATTAAAAGTTCTATATTACATAAAATTGACTCTCATGAGCTTTTAGTCATGGAGTTATCTCCTCAAAAACATACTTGAAGTTGTATTTTGTTTCATTCACACATGTTTGAGTAATCCTGCATTCTTAGTTCAAAGCTCAAAATACTCTATTCCACCTTGTGATGTCATGAAGCGGTAGTTTTCAAGTTAACAGCTTCCTTTTACCTTTTGTTCAGCAGAGATTGGCAATTCCAAGACTGAAATTATCCACAGATTGAAGTGAAGGTGTATGGAGTTTAAAAACACAACATCCATTAGAAAATAGCGTAATATGGGCCTTTTAAGTAGACTAGTACAAATTAAATGTTTAGGAATGGGCAACATTACCAGAAAAATATTTATTTGTTTTTCCAATAATGATAACCTCTTTTTTTTTTCAATCCTACAGAAATATTCTAAACATACCTGTAAATTACTTGGTTTAGGTTCAAATATTGCAAATCGCTTTTAGGACTGTAAAACTAAGCAAAAAGAAAAAAATGAAAAATATTGCTTTGTTTTGGATTTTATTTCCGTTTTTAATCAGCTCTTTTTGGAGTTCTTATTTATAGGGTTATATCTGTGACTGCATACTCGGATTTTTTACATATTCAAAACAGTTATATTCCGATGTATTGCCCAGCTCTGTTCATGTTTAATTGCAGATAAAGATGACCATGACTAGAATGATTAAAAATTAGGACCGTTGCCATAGCGAAGAATAATTTTAAACAAAATATTTTATCTCTTGACTGGAAAAATGTCCTCAAAATGTTGCATATAACAGAAATCTATGAATAGGACCTTATTATGAGAGATGTAACGATTTCCAAATCTCTTGGTACGATATTATCACGATATAAATGTCACGGTACGATATTTATTGCGATATTTTGTAGAGGCTGATATAATTGTAGATAGGACACTTTTTTCCTTTTAAAATACCCTGACAAGATTTTGATATTTTGATGTGAATTATTACTGTCATAATCCCAACAATTCAAGTAAAAACATGTCTTCATGTTGTCTGCACTGAAATGAATCATGGGATATGTAGTTCTCGATGTTTATTAGCTATTGGTACTATAAAACAATGCATTTAAGCAAAGGATTTTGTAATTCGATATATTGTGACAGCCCACGGTATTATTGTGAGACTTTTGACAATACAATATCACAATATTTCGGTTATTGTTACATCCCTACTTATTACATTATATCATTATTATTATTGTTTTATGTGCAACTGTCTGAGCAGTGAATTGTAATTGGAGGATCAGGCTTTCATGTCTTTGTGTTTTGATAACTTTGATGATAATAATAACTGTTACCCCATTAAGTGAATACCATTGACATTGGACAATACAAAAATACACTGACTTCAGAAGAAAATACTAGCAGTCTGATTGATGCTATACTTGTTGTGTCCTTTCTGAACACTAGTGGTTCTATCTGACGCGTGGGGAGTCCCTTTGTCAGAGTCCAATTCCTCTTTGAGCAGAGCATTCCCAACAGGAAGTAAGTCTCGAGAGCCCGTACCATGTGACCTGTCCTGGAATGAATGCCCCGCCCCCTCATCACATGGACTCTCTCATCGTACCACCATGTTTTCTAACTGATAATAATAAAAACTGACTGCCATTTAAGTCATCCACCATCTAACCCCTACAGCAGCCTGGTTTGGTTGTATGAGATTTAGGAGGGGGTCATTTTGGGGGGTTCCTGTCTCTTTCCCCTGCACTTGGCATGGTGACCGCCTGCACTGTGACGCATGATTTATCATTTCAGACAATTGAGTTTGCTAAATGTGAAACAATATTATACCTGCATTTCAACTCAATTGTTTTAACTGCATTTACCCAAACCCAAAACATGCACTATGTAACTTTCTGAACTATTTTGCCTTCTGTTTGTCTCCACGGCGATGTCATTGTTTTGCCTGTAATGTTCCACAGTATGGCATTCTTACAGTGTGCATTTTTACTTTTTTATGTTTACTCTTTGCACAGATCTGAAGAAGAAAAACAAAATATATGATGCCACACTATAGAACATTATTGGCTCAGTTCAGTAGTAAATGTCCCATCTTACAGACCTCTGATTTTTGTCTGTTTTTTTCCTCAGCTCCACCTCCTCTTCCTCCCAAAAATGTCCCGACTACACCTCCAACAGCCGGATCTATGGAGAATCCTGGTAATCATTTATCTCTGTCCTTCTATACGTTAATTATTTTTATTAAAGGTGCTCTACCCGACATCTTCAAAATTCAGAAAACAGAACATTTAACTTTACATTCCAAGCATCCTAATTATTCACCACAATGTATTTACAAGTGCTTTTCACAACGCTGAGACCAGTGGTAAGTTTTACCATGATGGTAAAGCTAACAATAACTAGTATGCTTATTTCTCACTTTCTGATAATTGGACAATATCATACTTTTTGATGAGATGCAGACAGTACGCAGAGAAACTTCTTTTGACCTCAAGAGCTACATATTAAATATACCTGTATTAGAGTCCTGCACAGGTACATTTTTGGAGATCCACACCCGCCCACACCCGCGAAGTACAGCACCACACCCGCCCGTTAACCCGTGATTGTATCAAATTTAAATGCATACCCGTCTGGACCCGTTAACATTTCACCCCTTACCCGCCCATTCCCATCATAAATTGGGGTCAGCTCATTAGTCCAACAGCCCAGTAGTCCAGGACTGAATTTACGCCATGTCATTAGTGGATTATAAATATATACACACTGCAACTGCGGAGCTGATCGCCAGGATTACCCCAGAACTGGACCAGGTTTACACCAGGTCTAAACCAGGACTTAATCGGGTCTAAACCAGGACTAAACCAGTACTAAATCAGGACTTAACAAGGTCTAAGCCAGGACTAAGCCAGGACTAAACCAGGAGCGCAGCCGCCGAGCCGATCACCTCCGCTGATGGATTTTATGTAATAAATACACTAAAATCACTCTCTCAACCTGGTCTGCCATTATTTCAGGAAAAGGCCCTTGTTCCCAGGGCAATGGACGCCCTCGATGCGCATCAAATAGTTTTCTCCCATTCATTGTTCATTTGATTCAGCTGACCCACTCTTGTGTAATCACTATTCGCCCGCATACCCGCCTGTAAATTCCAGAACGTTAAAACCCACCTGTTTCAGCAACTATTTGCGAGTACCTGACCTGGTGCAGGACTCTGACCTGTAGTAGACCTGTAGACAAATCTTGCAAAAATACATGGGATAAAAATCAGGTACACATCCTTTAAGTGTCTTTTAAAGCTATTTACTATTTTAAGCGTAATAGATAGATGGGTAGTTGCATGTGAATGTACATAACTTGATTTGCTCTCCCAGTGTATACAGTGTTTTTCAGCCTTTCTTTCTGATTGGTCCATTGCAGATTCCTCAACAGAAGTGGAGAGCCCACACAGAAAGCCTTCTATAGCCGACCTGGACAACCTCTTCGGTCCCGAGGTGGCGCCCCCTGCTGCCGAAGAGTCGAACGACTCCTGGGTGTGTTTCAGCGAAGACTCCCCAGCACCAAAGGACCTGGCCCCGCCCTTACCCTCCTCTCCTCCTGCTCCAGAAGAACCAGCCCCTCCTCCTCCCCCGTCTTCTCCTCCTCCTCCCTCCTCTCCTCCTCCGCCCGTACCCACCTCCCCACCCCCTCCACAAGAACCAGCACCATCTCCTCCTCCTCCAACTACCCCCCCTCGCCCCAAAGAAGACACAGCGCCCCCTACGCCTACCTCTCCGCTAGAACAGCCTCGAGTCCCATCTGGTCCCACCACGCCTCAAGATAGAGAGTCTTTACCGTTATCCACACCTCCTCCTCCTCCACCTCTCCACCACCCAGCATCTCCCCCAGCATCTCCTTCTCCCCCAACCCTCCCCCCACAGAAGCACCCACAACGCACTCCCCTCCCCACTACCACCCCCTACCGTCCCATCTCCAGAGGATAAACCCAAAAGTCCAGAAGCGCCCCTATCCAAAGAGGACAGTGTTGAAGTTGTAGGATCGCCCAAAGACACAGCCCCAGAGAGCAGGGGCACGCCTCCCCCTCCCCCGCCACCCACGTACAGGAGCATGGTGGCATCCCCGGGACCCACGTCAGGCACAAACAGCGGTGAGTGTGGGACAGGTCATCAGAACTACATAGACCATGATTCTTTGCTCCAACAGTACAGCTAACACGATGTAATAGCTTTTATTTTATACCATTGAAACTTTAATCATTAAAATTGCTCTGAAGGACATTTAGAGACAATTTTTTAGAGAAACAAGCATTAATAGAACTTTTTCAGAGTTTGCCAACTACGTAAAGATGCTATTGCTTTGCTTGGAATTTTCCACAGCATGACATTAAATTTATCTGTCTCCATGGAAACAAGCAGATGGCACCACCAGACCAAGTTGCAGGTCAAAGCTATAGAGCTGACCACACTCGTATTCAGAATTTTAATTTTTTTTTGGCAATACAAACACCTGTTGTTGAATAAAACATAGATAAGTTAGATAATGCTATACTGTTCAACACTCCAGGCAAAAAAAAGTATAATTAAAGGTATAATTTAATTTAGAATATCCCAAAATAAACTTTAAGCTTTACTCATTTCAATTCAGTTATATGAGTCTGAAGATCATTTGAGACTTAAATCGAAATTGCAATAAAAATTTAATTAATTGCACAGCCTTACAGTAAAATGTAGATAATGTTTGGGATGCCTTGAAATTAGATGCTTGTGTTTTAGTTTTGGAGAACTCGGCTCATTCACTTTGAGCCACTTACCTTTCATAATTGGGATATTATAACTTGGAATGTTTGGTCTGTACTGTATAACTTTAAACATGTATATATGCTGTTTTGTTTCACATTTTATTTCCTATATATATTGTTAATATAAAAGAAGTACTACAGTTATTATCCCTGACTATAACTTGGCCTGTCTATTTTGCCTAGGCATCTTATTTATGTATCTGTGTCTCTTGCTGTGGTCCTTGCAGGCTCTTCTTCTCCTGTGAGACCCAGTACACCTTCATCAGTAAACCCCACCCCACCTCCTCCTCCTCCGCGTCCCCCCTCGCGGCCCAAACTCCCTCCAGGGAAACCCGCTCCTGACGGGGTAAGATTTCATCATCGTTGACTATGTTTGTGGGCGAGTTCAGTTTTGTAATTTTAGAACTTAATTACGCTAAAATGTCAGAAATTATCTTTGTAACTTTTCTATTGCTTCATCTGGAATGTTCCCAAGTATTGCATTAAACGTATATACTGTGTGTGTTTAAACTGTTACTGATTCTTATTTTGCTAAAAAAAAAAAATACCTTGAAAACATGTATTGTTACTGTGAGTGGGGTAGCCTGTCCACAGATCTGACCTGTATCTTGGCTTGGTGCAGTTATTATCCCTGGATGTCTCATTGGTGGCATACTCACCACCAGAAAAGCATCTTTAAGATTTTGATTTCAATTTGACAAAGGAAAAGAATTTATTACTTTTTGTGACATTGCCCAGACACTTTTTGTGCTCTAATTTGCTTTGTCACACCTAGAAGCTTATTTGTCTGTGTTAATTATATACAAATCTCACCAGCTCTTAACATGAGTTTGTTCCTCCTTCAGACTCGTCCCTTCAGTCCCCCGGTGCACTCGGCCAGTCCCCCTCCTGTAGCTCCTTTGGCCCGAGCAGAGAGCACCTCCTCCATCTCCTCCACCAACTCTGCAGCCACCACCCCCACTGTCAACAAGGAGCTATGCGTGTCTGTGTCAGGTGAGAGATACATCTATAACCAATAAGTCTGTGTTTGTTTTATGGAGTTTGTTTATTTGCACTCCATCATGTTTGCAGTACATTGTATATTCCTTTTTATTTGCTTCTCAATGCAAAACATTCATTAAATATTCTGTTTGTAAAGTTGTGTCATCACTATATTGTCAAAAGTGCTCTATGTTACTTTTCTGGTTGGAGAGTTCTCTACTGGCTGGTCTCCAAGATGTTATTGCTTTGTCTAGAATGTTCCACAGGATGACATTATCTATTTCCATGGTGACAAGCAGAGAAGTTATAGGCCAGATCTTTAGAGAGAACACTCGCTCAGAGTAAGAATGTTTGTTACTCCATAAGAAATAGCCCTAAAAACACTTGAAATGGAATAAAGATACAAGAAATGCCTTGTTGTGGAACATTTCAAGCAAAGCAGTCTCCGTGGTGACAAGCAGTGGCAGATCCTACACCAGTGTTACATAGTGCACTTTTAAGACTAGATCTTTGTTAATTTATTACCATCAAAAGGTTAAGGTTTTGAAAAATTCAATGAAAGACCACAAAGTAATGGGTAACATAGATCAAGTGGAGGAAATGTTGTAATAAAAAAAAAAAAATACTATGCTTTTATTTTGCATCTTGGTGAAAAAAACATTGATTCCTTTGACCGCACTATTTTGGCTGTTCTCAAAAACACAAAATCTTATGAAGCTTAATTCCTACATGTCCTAATTATAACTTATTTACAGTCTATTTCACACTGTCACTGAATGTAGATGCCACTTACAGCTTATGTGTGGGCAGCGTGAATAGAATAAACTCATTAGCCTTTAGCACTTATGCAAATTAATAGAATAATTAAATAAGGATTATATAATTACTTTCAATATTCTTAAGATTTTTTTTTGCAGATTACATACAATCAGACTCCGTGACAGTTCACACCTTAGGATAGTTGGACAATGGACTCGGTTTTCTATAATGGGTTCTATATTACGTAAAATTGATTCTTATGAGCTTTAAGCCATTTTATAACGCTGTTACCTCATCGAAAACATAACTGGAGTTGTGTTTTGTTTCACTTACACATGATTGAGTAATGTCGGATATACTCTGTGCGCTGTTTTCGATCGTTTCACTCAGCACCAGCTCAACCTGTACGACCAAATCTCAGGGTTTAAAAGTTCACAGCTTGCGGAACTACTTCAACAGTGCAAAATCCTAACGAGAGGCGACTGGATTTCAAAGGTTTCAGATTTGATATTCTTCTGACCTACGATTGCCGAATGGGAGCTGCTCGTAAGGTATTAATTGGTTCTCGTTACCCCATGCATACTACACGAAGCACGTCACACGATTAAGCCAAAAGTTGGCCTAATCCCCAAAACAGTTGCACGAGTGAAAAATCATCTCAAAAAGGGCCAGAAATTGCACAGTGCAGACCCGGCTTAACCCTTCCTTATTAGGCTATGTTTATATGATGACGGTCTGAACAAAAGATGCAAAAGTCACATTGCGTCTTAATTTTTTATTCCGCGTTTAGGAAAATCTGCATGCATATGGAGACACAAAAGTGTGTAGAATTCGATTGGGTATGCAAGCCAGGCAGCTAGGCAGTGACAGTCGGTGGTGATGTATGTGACATAAACACGTACGCAACCTGAGCAGATCTGACCAGAGTTTTGCATTTTGGGCAGTGTAGATGGAAATGCTACGGCGGAGCGTATTCACCTTTTCCACTCTGGAGGGTGGTTTCAGATTTTTGCATTTTTAAGCCCCAGAAACGCCGTCAACATCTAAATGAAAGGCACTTGCGATAAAATATTTTGTCGTTTTTACCTGCAAGTGTTCTCGTGTAAACCGGCCCTGAGAGAAGAACTCAGTGTAAGAGTTTGTGGGTTTAACATGTGAGAATGAAACAAAACACAACTCCAGGTCTGTTTGTGATGAAAACATAACATTATAGCATAGATTAGAAAACAGCATAATATGGGCCCTTTAACTCACATATATTCCTTACTGTAAACAACTAGGGTGTATTAGTTTCAGTGTAGTTATCTCCTCCTTTCAAACAAATAGAAGACACTGAATTACTAGAAAAAATCTTGTCAGAACAGAAGAAGCAACTTAGATGAGTGGCAAAATGTATTCACACTCAAAAACTTCAATTTTCTTTTGCAATGGAACCTTCCTGGACATGACGCATTATACAGGCACCATTACATTACGTACTTCCTCATTTTAAAGGTGCATTATGTAACTTTTTCAGTTTAAAGTATCTCTATCCATGGAAAATAAAATTGAAACCTCTGTAATTGAATAAAGGCAAGATACACAAGTTTAATGTCAGACTGTGGAACATTCCAGGGATAGCCACAGTATCACCATGGAGACCCATACCCCCACATGAAAATGTACACAGTGCACCTTTAAATTGCTTTATTACATTGTGGAGGTTGCTGTTTCTCATGTTGGTCACATTATTTTTGCTTTCTTGTTTTGCGTGTCTCCATGTTGTTTTTGTCCATTGGCTTGTCAGAAGACGATGCTTTTGTAGACAAGCTGCCCTCCTTTGAGAGACACTGTGATGCACTGGCAGGTAGAGTATGGATGGTCTCAGGACAGTGTGTGGAGCTTGGGAGAGTTGATGTGTGTTTACCCAGAGTGCTTTGCTCCAGGGTAAAGGCTTGTGTTGTTGCGTGTTGGCGTTTCATTGTCAAACTATTTTAAATTAGGACAGTGACAATTTTCATTATTAATTTTCCCACCCACTAGTTTTCTGATTTAAAAAGTATGTGTCTTTTTACTGTGTATTTTTACTGTCTTACAAATGTGAAAAAACTGAACTTAATTACATTTTTTTTGCAGTGGACCTTTTGAATTCAGAGCATCCTAACTATTAACTGCAATACGCTTACTGCTTTTCACCTTTCAGAATGGAGTGTTGCTTTCACGCTAAAGCAAACCACTAACATTCTAACCATGCACTCACTGATTATCTGACAATAAAACGGGGTGCAGGCCCTTTACTAGAGACTATACGGTGGCCCATATCATGAATGTGGCATACACTGACAGAAAAAAACAAAACAAAAAGCCATGTTATCATGTTCTTACCTCACCAAAACATACCTGGAGTTGTTTTTTGTTTCATTCACACATGTTTGAGTAATAATGTATTGTTAGTCTGCATCTTCACAGCTCACAGTGCTCTATTCCACCTTGTGATGTCATGTACTGGTAGTTTTCAAGTTAACAGCTTCACAGCAAATAGTGGAGTGTTAAAATTGACTCCCACAGAATCAATTTAAAAATTTTCTCAGGTTTATATGAGTCCAAGCTGTTCTAGAGTTAATTTTAAATTTTTGGACATGTTAATTAACACTGGACCAAAGTTCCTGTTTAACCCCAAAATCAAGAGTTATATTAATGTAAACGGATAACACTTTGTAGAGTTATTTTGATTTAGCTAAACGACACACAGAGGTGTTTAATTTTTACACTTTATTTTAGTTAATTTAAGATGAAATTATGTACAAAACTGGTCTTCTCTTGGGGGAGTTTGAAGTGGTGGGTGGGAGGTGCCAAATTAACACTAAGGGAAGTTAAATTAACACTAGTCGACAATAACCCCAACTCGAACCCCATTTAAATTTCTGATAGTTAAAAACAGCTCAAATATTTTACTCTGATGTTTTATCCACCCAGTTTTTGCTGTGTACTTTTTAGTTTTAGTTGCGTACAGATTTGCAATTCCAGGGCCGAAGTTCTCCAAATTTAATGAAAGTGCAGGTTTAAAAACACATTGGAGCACTTCCTGTATTACCACACAACATCACAAGGTGGAGTCGAATGTTTTCTTTTCAGCCTCACCCTACATTTGCAGGGTTTGTGTGTTAAACATGTGTGAATGAAACAAAACACAGGTATGTTTTTGATGAGGAAGCAACATTATGACAGAGACCAGAAAGTGGCATAATATGGGACTTTTAAGCAGTCATTTTTAATTCTTGGCTGTGGCTTTAAAAAATAGATTAAATCAATCCTATCTTCAGCCTTGTATGATAGGCTCATTTACTTATTGTCACTGTCTTAATACTTATATTTTGACTGATATTCTACAGATGTAGGGACATTCCCACAATATGTTTTTCCCTTTACCACCACATTTTTACAACCACTACATCTCCAACTCTCCTCTTATTTTGAACATGTTTTGGCTCCAGACACAAAAATGCATCTCCCTTTGTGTTGTCATTGGTTCATCCTGGTCCTCTTCTCTCTGTTTGTGTGCCTATGGATGTCTAAGCATTACCATGGCAACGTGGTGTCTAAAAGAGCGCCGTGCCATTTTGTCTCCGAGATGCCTTCACCGGAGAATCTTTGAGTGTTTGTGTGCTGTGTTTTCAATTATAACAAGTCCTATCTCTCAATATGTTAGCTCTGGAAATCATATTGTCATTGGAGGACTATTGATTAAAGTTTTGCTGTACAACAAGTTTGAATTCAGAATTTTGTGGCTGCAAAACCTTGGAAAATATTGTGGTATGTTAGTACAGCAATATCAGTATTATTAATAATATTTTTATATACTTTTAAAACTTATTTCAGTTGTTCATGCCTTAATTTAGTAGTGAAACTCTGTGGGCCAAAAGCAAGCCTAAGTCAAGGCTAATTTTGGACCTTTTTAAATGCTTTTTTTTCTGTCATCCAGAAAACCTTTGTTATTGCATTATATTAAGTTTGTTGCAATATTGACCACTGTGTTTGCCAATATTGTGGTATCAATACTGTTGCAATCCTAGTTCAGGCAGTGTCTGGACTGGCTGGTGTTCAGAGCAGGCCGGAGTAGCATGACTTAACCCCAAGTTCAAACACTCGTGAGTTGAACTTCTCCCCTCGACGCTTCCCTCATTCACACCTGCCTCAGTGCAGCCCCTCCCATCACACCTCAGAACTGTCTGTTTACATCATGAAGCACCATTCTGCTCTTACTGCAGCTATAGACCTTTTTCACAACGGCTGGAAGTGCCGCGATGCAGGGTAAACGTCACTTTGGTTAATGCTTTTCTATGGCAGAATATCTGTGGAAATGTCTCGCATATTTGTGATTTGTGTAGTTTAAATGCTAGACATGTAATCTGTGAACATCTGTAGCATTTGAACTGCACAAATCTATCTATCTATGTCAATATCTACATCATGAAATCAATCTTTAATTTTAATTCTAGAATCAGTCTGAGTTTACAAGTTACTTTTAATGAATTACTTATTACTTATGTTTTATTCATTACCACAAGGTTAGTTTTGCACAGAAGTTATTCACTAATGCTAGTCGTTGTTTGCCTTAAAGTTTTTTTCTTTCTTACCTTGATAGTTGTGGATAAATTCTTCATGGACAGAATATGTCCTTTGTCGACCTTGTTGGAATGAAGATTTGGTGATGGGTTGGCAGATTTATGAAGCTGGTGGAAAATAGACATTTCCACAGATATTTTGCCACAGAAAAGCATTAACCCTAAGTGACGTTTACCCTACATTGCAGCACTTCCGGCCATTGTGAAAAAGGTCTATTGAATGAAAGAATTTAAAATATTTTAGTGTAGAAGGGCCAAGTCTCAAATGGCCTATACGCTTCTAGGAACTTTTAACTTCGTCATTGACGCCCCCTGCAGGCTGTCTTTTGACACAGTTGCAGTAACATGCTGTTTGTACTGCCAACAAAATTCAGCTCAAGTTAAACAAAAGTGCATTTTCAAAAGTTTCACAGTGTCTGAAGGAAAGACACAGCAGCTGTCACTCATACTGCTCAGTTTGTGCTGCAGCATAGTTCTAAAGTAAAGTGCACTATTGTCATCATTGACTTTAAATTAAATGTTGGTTTTGAGCAGTTTTAGACGTTACTGTACAGCTATTATGACTTTATGTTGGGCTTTCCTTATAGGTAGTCAATTGAATCTCTTTGCAGTATCCTGAAAATGTCATTCTTGTTGGAAATCATTTTATGTGTAGATCAGGCCTCACCATTGCCCTGCATTTCCTCCTCACACGTGCACAGACAAGACACATGTTCACATGAGCCCATACTGTACCATGATTCAGATGTTGTCTTCTGTTTTATCCTGGGCGCTGTGTATCCACCCCACTGTGATGTCAAACAGAGCTGCCATGTGAGACTCACGCTGCTGTCCTTCTCTCCTCCTCCTCCTCTTCCTCACCCTCCTCTTCCTCACCCTCTCCTCTCCCTCACCCTCACCTCCTCCTCCCTGTACCCCACCCCCCACACAGAGAATGACCAGCCATCCCTGGTATGGTTTGACAGAGGGAAGTTTTATTTAACATTTGAAGGTAAGTTTTCGGCTGTAGAACGTAGCTTTGGTGGGGCTCATCTGTGCTGGCTTCACTGTCCTGCCCTGCCCCTCCTCCTCCTCTTCCTCTCTAACCCCCTCTCTCTCTTTCCTTTCCTCTCCTCTCCTCTTCCTCCTTTGCGATCCCTCCATCACTGTCATGCTAACGCCAGGTCGAGGCCTCACGCGCAGCTCTCTTCCTGATCTTGTTCACTTGGTCTGCGCTGGTTGGCTTCCATTTTCTTACCAATCATTCTTCATGTGCGTTACTAACATCTTGGTGGTGGCTCTGGTCTGGCCTTTTCTTATCTTTCTATTTTGGACGTTTCGATTTTGCTTCAAGCTGGCATGCATCTATCTGTATAACTGTCTACAATGGTGTCTTTTTTCTATTTATTTTGTTTATGTAATTATGTTTAAAGCTATTTTTTGCCAAGAAAAGCAACTGTAATTGAATAAATGCAAGATAAATAAGTTGAATGCCATACTTTGGAGCATTCTAGGCAATGCAATGCAATCTCCATGGTGCCAAGAAGGTGGCAAATCCTCTACCACAAAAGATACATAATGCAGCTTTAAAAGAAATGTGTTGTTAATGATCTAGCTTTCAAATGCAATACTAAAAAAGTTTTGTAAGGCTGTCCAGTTAAAATGTAGGATAATGTGTGAATATATTAGGAATAATAAGAATAATAATAATAAGAAAAATATCATTATGTATTATGCTTTACAGGCAAAGAACAGAGAGAAAGAGCATTCAAAATCATCCATCAAAAGTCATGTTCTCATCTTTTACTAACATCTTCTGTGCTCATTTAACATTTTATATTCATTGTTTAGTTCTAGTTCATACTTTTTTGTTTCATTCCCTTGTAATCTGTTAGGGAAAAGTTATAGACATGACCTAGAAACTATTCATTTATACTAATTTATATTTCTGGTTAAAATCTAATGTAAATAGATGAGTTAAAGTGCTATTGTATTGTGTTGTGCTGATTTGTGTGTTTTTGTGTGTAGGCTGTTCGCGAGGGCCCAGTCCTCTGACCATGGGTGCCCAGGATACGCTCCCTGTAGCTGCAGCCTTTACAGAGACGGTCAACGCCTTCTTTAAAGGAGCAGACCCCAGCAAGTATGTACCTGTATCTTAAGTAGTCATAATTCACTTTGGAGAAATATTTTTGGTAATAACCAGGCAAAGAATAGACTGATATATTGAGTCTGTGGCAATATTTACATCAGTTATTTTATTTTTTTATGTACTGACAGAGACAATGCAGTCACATACATACATACATACATACTTACATACATACATAGTCACAGGCAGAATATGCAGGTGAAGGGACACATAGAGTATAGAGCAGGGGTCTCCAACCTATAGCTCTCCACCCCCTTCCAAGTAGCTCACCAATGGATTTCTGAATTATACGTATTGTGGTGAATAACACAACTTTGATTAATTACATGGCTGTTACCATGGTAAATGTGTCATTTTGATGCCTAACTTTGTGCAGTAATAAATAGTTTGTTTTATAAGCATCAAACTGTACCCCATCTAAGGACGTGGCTCTTTTATTCAGTCAATTTTTTGCAACCTCTAAAATGAGTAGCTCTCTGGTATTTTCGTTTTGTAAAGGTAGCTCACCGGAGGAAAATATTGGAGACCCCTGATATAGAGTCTGTAGCTATAGTGCTAATTCTCAACTCCTGTCCTTGGGTGGGCTTTTTCTGCACTAAACAGTTTAAAACTGTTTAAAAGCACAATCTGTTTTTTTTTTTCCTTCTTGTACTTTTTTAAGACATTGGCTTACAAAATGTGTTGCCTGGCCAAGAATGTGCCAAGAACTTTTCTAACAGATTACAAAGATATGTAGTAAGGACATCAGGTTTCTCTCTCCCTGACTTCAGATAGACGTGACTGACAGGTGGATTAGACAATCAGGGACATGCATTATCTGTCCGTGTCAAAACAAAAGTGGCAATTTATGAGGGAAAAGAGGAAAACAAAAATGGGACTGAAAAACATCACATTAAATGCTTCTGAAGATGGATGACCAATGATCTTTGTTTCCCATGCATCACTAAAATAAATGAACCTGATTAAATTAAACACTCTGTCTGAGTTTGGCCTGAGACGCTGTGGAAGAGGAGGTGACCAGACCCGGAGATCTCCTGTGTTAGAAAATACATAGAGAACGAGTCTGGATCCGAGGTTACAAAACTGGTAGTCTGAATAGGTTGATCTGAATAGCCCTTTGCACAGATGAGGACAAACAAACCAACACGTGACACGCATTCTACATTTAAACAGAAACCAGAAATTGTGCAGTCCAACTTTATTTTATAAACAAGACAAGTTTCCAAAGTACCTCTTAAAAAGTCAGCAGAATTATGTACCGACAATATACCTAATAAAATCAACGAATAAAAATAATAAAATCAAGAAATAAAAGCAGTACTAAAAAGAAAAAGACCCAGTGAACCAAACAACTCAGCAGTGTTAAAAGCTAGACAATAAAAGTCTTAAAATGAGACTTAAAATACTCCACTATTGGGGTCCTCAAAAACCCTGTGTCAGTTAACCTCCAGCTAGTCCTTGCATATTACTGAGCACATTAATTACATTAATCTGAGCATGTTTCTGTGTTTTGTCTCAGGTGCGTGGTAAAGGTCATAGGTGAGATGGTGGTGTCGTTCCCAGCGGGCATCACACGGCACTTTGCCAATAATCCTACGCCCGCTGTTCTAACCTTCAGTATAACCAACTACAGCCGACTGGAGCAGGTCCTGCCTAACCCCCAACTGCTCTGCTGGTAATACTCACTCACACTGAACTAAACCACAACAATACCACAGACCTATACTCATGTACTCACACACTGCCACAGCACTATACTTATATACTCAAACTTATATTTATTTATTCATGTGTTAACTTGACTGTAAAATTGATTGACTCTAAAAACTCCAGAACACTACCACAGCCTCACACTCAATTTATTTTTGCATGTCTTATTTGTTTGGCTGCATGGTGAAAATTGAACATCTAGTATTTCCTAAATTACTTGACAGTTCACATCTTATGTTTGTGTGATCCCGGTCGGCCAGGTAGGAACCATAAGAAAGGAGATATTCAATTCTGTCAACTGGGCACAAGTTTTGTTTTTTTGTTTATTATCGAAAACATTTCGCAGCTCATCCAAGCTGCTTCTTCAGTTCTGGTCAGACGCTGATGGAAACTGCCTTGTATCTGCCTGAAGGGAGGAGCTAACTACAATGAAACTACTCTGAAACTCTTTTTTTTTTTAAGGTCTATTGAACTGCACTAAGTGGGGACTGAGTCATTTTAGCATAATCTTTCTAGCCAGACTGGCGCCACCTAGTGTCTCAATTAAATTTCTTTCCAGTGACTATGTCAGGAATAGGAATACACTAGATGTTTCGCAAGAACCCCGGAAGTTATAGATCATGCATCGGCCAATCAGCGAAGAGCTGTGAAACCATGATGTCAAACTCAAGTGCCTGTCCAACCCAAGCTGCGATAGCAGACTGCATACACTATCCTCCTTTGGACTTCCTTTGTCAGATACGAACGTTGCATTTTTTTATTGCACCTTTAAATCACAAGTTCACCTCGCAGAAAACACAATGACAAAGACAATGATTGTTTACAGACATGTTCACTCTCTGCCTTTTTTGCTGTTACATTACGTACATCACAACCAAATAGCAGCAATTGGTTAAATAAAAAAGTACCCACCGAACGTTAAGTGAACGAATCCTAATGCTGTGAGGTCAGACTGATGAATCAGGCTATAATCATATAAGTCCAGATGACAGAACTGAATTTCTCGTTTGCTACTCACACTTTATGGTAATTCAGTAGACTAAAAGCCACAGTATATAACTTTGTTTTGTTTTTTTATTTTGGTTGTGTGCTTGTTTCCTTTAATATTCTATTGTATGTTATAATATGCTATAATATCCCACTGTATCACATAAAACATATCTATCGCTATAAAGAATGTCCGAAGTCTGGTTTTTACTTTCTATTTCCATGGATAAGTAACAGATACTTCTTACTGTAAACCTCTAGGGTGTGTTAGTTTCTGTTTACTTTTCTCCCCCTTAGCCTGCTCCTCTTCCTGTGGTCCATACATACACATTAATCGATAATAATAAATGCATACACAAATACATGTTGTTAAAATCACAATGTGACAAAAGGTTACTTACTCATATGAACGAGTGACCAATATTTACCAGTGTTTATATAACTTTACTTCAAAATAAACAGGTTTTAGTACAGAAATAAAAGTGTAATCTCCAGTGCAACAGGGATGAGTACAGTTAGAGCAGATGAGTCAGATCCACACACACTTCTAATGTCAGCTGCTGGTGACTCATTCTTCAGTCATCGTGAGACCTCAGATCTACTTTATCTAATTAATCTTCTGTATCAAACAAAGTGGCTGTTAATTCTATAATAGGTTGTTTTTGTTTGATATAATATCAATACTGACTTTGGTTAGAATGCTTTGTCCACTACTCTCTCCCCCTTTATAACAGAAACTGACTGAACACCCTCAAAAAATGCCCAAAACACACTTTTCCTCATAACCTACACCACACATGACAGCTCCTCATTACTGTTTTCATCTGTCCTGTCCTTGTTTTAGTGATACTTTATTGTGAAACATCCTTGTGTTACTGTGAGAGGCGCTATATAAAACCTGTGTATTATTATTATAACTCAGAATTCAGCAGGTCAGCTTCTGTTCTCCAACCACTGCTGTTGTGTTCTTAGGCAAGACACTTCACCCAACTTTCCCAAGTATAAATGGCTGCAAAAATATATACAGTATGAATGTAAGGCATTATTATTATGATGATATTATAAAGGGCCCATATTACAGTATTGTCTGATGGATGTTATAATCTTGTTTCCTTATTATAAACACACCTGGAGTCGTGTTTTGTTTCATTCACACATGTTTAACACATAAACCCTGGCTGTGTTCTTCTCTCAATCAGAAAACACTCCACCTTGTGATGTCATGTGGTAATACAGGATATGGTGTTTTTAAAGTCCTTACACCTTCATTAGAATCTTTTGGATGATTTCAGCCCTAGAATTGCCAATTTATAGTGAACAAAAGGTAAAAGGTAACTGTTAACCTGAATACTACTGCTTCCATCAAAAGTGGAACAGAGCATTTTGAGTTTTGGAGATGTAAACAGCCCAGTGATGCAAGGTTAACCATGTGTGAAGGGAACAAAACACAACTTTGGGTATGTTTTTGATGAGGTAACAACATTCTAATATGACTTAAACCTCATAAGAGTCCATTTTGAGTAATATGGGACCTTTAATAAGAATTGAGGATTAAAAAGGTGCTTGGCCCACTGCGCAATGCACCAAACTGTAAAGCATTTGTGAGCATTTTATACAATTAACTTTTATTATTTGAGCTGATTTTTCACTGTGGTACTGATACATATTGTCCTGTCTCTTATAGTGACAACACCACAGCGGCTAAGGGCGACTCAAAGAACTTCTGGGTGAACATGCCAAACCTGATCACACATCTGAAGAAAGTGTCCGAGCAGAAGCCACAGGCCACGTACTACAACGTCGACATGCTCAAATATCAGGTGAGAAAAAGAAAAGATTTCAGGAAATTAGGAGTGGGCAAGATGGAAATTAAATAATAATAATTTTTAAAATAGTTAACCAATCATAGTGAAGAAGATTCATACATGTACATGGATAAATATAATGTTATTATCTCACCAAAAACATAACTGTAATTGTGTTTCCATTCATTCACACATGTTTGACTAATCCTTTATTATTAGTCTGTCTACATCTCCAAAGCTCAAAATGCCCTGTTTCATCTTGTGATATCGTGTTATGGTGGTTCAAGTTAACAGCTATATAAATGTAGGGGAATAATGGTCAAATCAAATCATGGCCTAGGCTCTGAAAATAGAGGATTAAATTGGGTCATGGTTTCTCTTTGTTGTGGTTGCTAATATAAAAAAGATACTTGGATAACAGATCACTGATACTAAAACTAGCATCAAAACTACACTAAAGGTATCAAAACTGTAAAAAAAAAAAAAAAGTGAGATACTGTATTGGTGTCAAAATAAAGTTAGACATTTTAATAGGCGATTGTAATAAGTAGATTTTTGATTCTGTGTTGTTTTGTGCAGGTTTCTGTGCAGGGCCTCCAGTCCACTCCCCTGAATCTGGCGGTGAGCTGGAGATGTGATGCCACCAGCACAGACCTGAGGATAGACTACAAGTACAACGGGGACGCCATGGCAACACCCACAGCGCTCAATAATGTGCAGTTTCTAGTGCCGGTGGACGGAGGGGTCTCCAAGCTACAAGCTGTGCTGCCTCCTGCTGCTTGGTACAGAACATTTTGAAGTTCCATTAAAGCTTAATTATGTAACTTTTCTGGAGGGCGGGGGTTTTGCCAGCTTCTTGTCATCATGGGGTTTTTAGGGCTTCACAGGGAATGATCCACAGTAGGGCATTAAACATAGTATCTATCTAGCATTTATTTAATTACAGTTTTTATTGTTCCAAAATACCTTGAAAAACATGCATTCTTACTGTGGGCAGGGTCACCTCTCCACAGAGCTTACCGGTAATTTTACCTGCAGTCCTAACAGTTTAAATCAGCCTAAAACAATGGCTGTAAGATTTTTATTTTTTAACCATAAATAGTGGATTTATGAATACCTATATTCCCTTAACTATATTTTAAGTCACTACTTTAAATCCTTATGACTGAACATTTTGAAATTTCTGACTTATTTTAAATTATATTTATCTCTATTCCATATGGATTCTGTTAATATGAATCCATCTATTTGGCTCTAGCCATAGAAATTATATACATTTATAGATACAATTTTATAAACAACTAAGTTTACATAAAACGGATTAACATATAGATATGCAGATTAATTTTCTCCCAAGTGTTTAAGAACTTCCCATCTCTTTTTATAATTTTTTTTTTCTCTTGGTCCATTTTGATTGTATAACCTTATAATGTAAAGTACTGGTAAATATATATTTCTTTTATAGTTAATATTAATGAGAATTGATTGTTTGCTTTGAAAATTAAACATTTTCCCAGGGTAATAATTAAATTAACAAGATCAATTCTATTTTTAAAGTCTCCCAGTAAAGTAGAGACTAAATCAAACTTAAAAACCAAACCCAACTCTTAACACATCTTCTCTACATCACTCCAAAATGAATATACAATATGGCAGTACCAGAACAAATGTTCAGTTGACTCCACTTCCAAACAGCAAAAACAGCATTCAGCAGTGTCTGTCATATTCCAAATTTATCACATTTTCCGTATAGGCAGAAAATTATATATAATTTTGATTTGAAAAAATCTATTTCCTAGCTGTAAGCTTTTAACAAGATGGTGACATTTTGAGCACTAAAATGACTAAGGCTTCAGGAAGTGCCCCTCCCTTTAACAATATCATCATCATCATCTGGTGGGACAGAGATTTAGGTGTGAATTCCAAAGTATGTATTTGAGGAGCGAACAGGATTACAACACACAGCAAGTCAGTTTAGCATGATGTGAGCTCTTTAATGTTGCTGTAAACATGGCTGGCTGTCTGTCAACCCTGGGGTCAGTCTGTGTCAATATTTAATGTGAAACTTGAGATGCTTTTACTTTTTCTTCCAATACGACGGACGTCTCTTGATTGTCATGTCCTTTTTGCTCCACACAGGAACGCCGAACAACAGAGAATCCTTTGGAAAATCCCAGATATCTCACTAAAATCTGAAAATGGAGGTAATGAGGTCCTTGTAACTGCTGTTTAATTTACAATTCATTATGAAGCTAATCCCACTTTTGTGCCTGAGCGAGGATTTCTGATTAAATTAAACCCCAAATGGAATAGTTTGATGATGTGTGTGAATTCTCGGGGGACAAGATAGACCTAGATAGTTTAATTGATCCATTATGAGCTAACAGTTGACTTCTATATTTTCAATACAAAGCAATAGTGCCCCCTTCTGACAGTACAAGGGATTAGGGATAAAGTACAGATGCATTGTGATAGTAAGGAATTAAAACACATACATTACAGGTTTTACATACAAGATAATATCTAAATTAAGCAAAAGTAGTAAAGTACTGTTCTCAAGTACAAATTTTAGGTAACTGTACAACTGAATTAAATATTTTTTGCCTAGTTGTTTTTACTGGTATATTTTAATTTGCTCAAATTGAGAAGGCGCTAAATGTAAACTTCAGACTTTTCAGCAGGTCTGAAACAATAATAAAAAAAATAAGTAGTGGAGTATAATGTACACATACCTTCTCTCAAATGTAGTGAAGTAAAAGTAAAAAGTGTCCACTGTAAAATTTACTGAAAGGTGCACTGTGCAACTTTTTGGTTGTGGGTCCCTGTTTGTTTCTATGTAGATGTCATTGCTCTGCTTGGAATGTTCCACAGTATGACATTAAACAGCTCTACCTTATATTTATTTTAATTACATGTGGTTTTATAGCTCAAAAATACCTAGAAAAACAGGCATTCTGACTGTGAGTGGGGTCGCCTCTCCACAGATCTGACCTGCAACTTGGCCTGGTTTGGTCTCCACAAAGGTAGAAAGGTGTAATTCCATTTCAGACAAAGCAATAATTCCATGTAGGAAAGCGTTTGATGGACCCTCCATCAGAAAAGTTACACAAAACACAAAATTGTACAGTGGGTACTTTTTACTTTTACTGCACTACATTTGAGAGCAGGTATCTGAACATTATATTCTACTACATTTTTTAACATGAAAGTACATGTACACAAGTAAAACATTTTTTAATTGTTGTTTCAGACCTGCTGAAAATTCTGAAGTGTATTTTTAGCACATTCATACTTTGAGCAAATTAAAATATACCATTCAAAACAGCTAGGCAAAAATTCAGTTGTTTCTGCTGAACAAAATTCAGCACGAATCTTTATTAAAAAAAATCACTACATTTGAAGCTTTTTAAGAACTTAAAATATGCACAATATACTTTTACTTTTTACTCTTTTCGTTCGTTTTTAAACTTCAATACTTCTACTTAAGTACATTTTGTTATATCAATCAAGCTTTATTTCAGACTCCAGTGCATTCATATAGAACAAAACAAACAGAAGACAACCACAACAGTAATAATAGTCTATACCGTAGTCCATATGAGCAATGAACCTGACACTGCTCTGCTCAGGCAGCATTAAAAGAATTATAATTCAATTTTGTGAGTCCTCAAGGCACTTCACAAACCTATACACAAATTTATGATAACAGCATTCAGTGTGGGGACATTATTCTGCACAAACAGCAAACTGGCACTAGTCGATCCATGGACTTTCAGTAAGATACAAAGTGCACCTTGCATCTAAACCTCATACTTTTACTTTTAATTGAGTACAAAACTAAGTAGTTCTTCCACTATTTCTGTTGATGTTGGTGTTTTTAAATATTGCCGTCTGTGTTCCAGGCGTGGGCTCCTTGTTGGCGCGGTTCCAGCTCACACAGGGCCCCAGTAAACCTGCCCCTCTGGCCGTGCAGTTCACCAGTGAAGGCAGCACTCTGTCGGGCTGTGACATCGAGCTTGCTGGGCCTGGGTACCGCTTCTCCCTCATCAAGAAGAGGTTTGCTGCAGGTCAGGGGGACTTCTTTTTTTTCCCTTGATAAACACATCTATATGCTAATGTTTTTTTATGACATTATAACAAAAAATAAACAAATAAATAAACAATTTTGAATTTCCAAGATACAAATATTCGTTTATCTGCTTCAATGTTAAGAAAAGTTAAAAAAAAAAAACAGTATAATATAATAACAATATAATAAAAAAAGTAGGATGTTGTGATGTCATCTTAAACCCTGCAATATTATGCATTTTTTAGTTCTACATGATCCTGGTGTTCTTTTTCCGCTATTTTGTTTGTTTAAAAAAAATCCTATTCATAATATAATCACAACTTCTGGCCTCGAGAGCTTTATTTGAGTGGAGGCGAACACTATGGGTAATGTCACGCTCACTTAGTCCACTTCTAATAAAAAACAGAGGTCCTGCATCTGATTATTGCTAAATCTAGTTTACATTTGCAGCCCCAGATTCACAGGAATAAATAGGACAATGCAATAGCTGTGCAAAACGTGACTACACAGCTCTCTTACAGGTTTGTTTTGAAAAAGGGCTTGGGGGGAGTTTGTAGTTAATTTAAATGGCACCACTGTATTTTTTGGACTATAAGTCGCTCCGCAGTATAAGTCTCACCAACCAAAAAATGCATAATGAAGAAGAAAAAAGAATATATATAAGTTGCACCAGACTATAAGTCTCACTTTTGGGGGGAAATTTATTTAATAAAATTAGACACCAAGAACTGATTTTCATCTGGAAAGGCAAGTTATAGTAATAACAATAGAACAGAGACCAACAGACGTAACATATTAAGAGTTCTTCAGATAACTATAGCATAAACAACAGAACAGAACAAGTTTACCAAAGTCTCCATCTCACTCCAAATCACTAAATCCACTGAATTCTTCATCCTCGGTGTCACTTCTGAGCAACTCCGTGACCTCTGGAGGTAAACTGAGCGCCACTTTCTTTTCTGTGTAGCTGTCATCAGACTCAGCATCAGTTCCAGTTAGAATTATTCCGGCCTTTCTGAATCCCAACAGGATGGTTTCTGTTGTCACAGAAGTCCAGGCTTTGTCAATCCATCCAATGACTTCCAGGAAAGTTGCATGGCACACCCTCGCCTTTCTCACTCTAAACTTTCTTTCTACTGTTCGATTAATTTCAAACCATGAAAAAAGTGCATCTTATTGTCCGAAAATATGGTAATTTGTGGAAAATAATCAAAATTGGTCCAACATAACAAAAATAACATTACAAAAGCAGCCATTGGTTGCTCTGTCTTCTGAACAATTGACATCGGCATCGGTCATGAAAATCATCTCTCTAAATCTAGGCAAAGCTATAGCATCCACATGGAGATAAGCAGGTGGCCGACTGTCCACCAGAAAAGTTACATACTGTACCTTTAAAAATATTTATGAAAGCAGTAGCTTGGTGGTCTGTATTTTTCTTACTTTAATGTTATGTTTTTGCAGGAAAGTACTTGGCAGATAACTGAAGGCGTGTCCAGGCTGAGTGGTCCCTGTTGGACATTGGACTCTGAGGACAGACCCTCCTCTGAACTGCACAGCTCCTCAGCCTGCCAGCAGTATTCTCAAACTACACTCTCACCTACCATCGTATTTGTATCCATCCAACCACACATCATCTGTACTGCTGCGTTCAATCACTGGGTTCTTCCTACTTCCTATTTCGGAGTCTGTGCCTCTGTCCCCATCTTCTGGTCAAAACGTGGTAGTGTTTGTAGGAGTTTCACTGCAGCTGCCTGGCTCAGAGCTGGTGAGATTTGCCTTGAAAACACTGCAAATTTGCATCTTTGGTGTTTATTTATTATGAAGCAGGACAAAATTTAGAACACAACCAAAACAGCAGCATTAAAAACCCATTTGTGTAATTTTCATTTTAATTTTGGTGGCCTTTTTAACAGTTTTGGGGTGTACTTAAAGTCTCAAAAGAACCAATCGTCTTCTGGTAATACAGGGTCACTCTTAGCCACATAGATTAATTTAAATGCATTTATTCTATGGCTTATAATGATGGACACAGTGGTTAGGCAGCTGCATTGACCACCTCTGGAAACCGCAGAGCTCAGAGATGTCTTCTGTAGAACAAAGTCATGTACAAAGTGTCATTGAATCACTTATAGGTATATTATCTAAAGGGCGTTTGGTGTTCCTCGTATTGTCCGATAGCCTCCTGTTGTTGCCACGGCAGCAGTGTTAGACTCCAGAGTACATGACAGCATCTATTTTTATTTATTGACAAAGAAACTTGTTGTATAAAACGTGATTCTGTATATGTATAGAGTTCGAATGGTATCACAACTCCCTTAAAGGTATAAATATTTGAACTTTTTGTTATCTGTGTAGTTGGTAACCTGTGTACAGTATAAGGTATAATTTTTGAATTTATTTCAGATATAATTTTTTAACTCAAGTGCAACAGAAGATTTGAGCTATATATGGGGCGGGTGGGCGGGGGTAATTTAAAGAAAAAGATGACTATCTTTCTGGATGCTGTGTTAATGCTTTGTGAAAGCAGTGTTATTGTAGTTAGCTGTACCATGGACAGTGTCCATGTTTAAACTCTTCCTCTCTCCCGCTGAGTGTGGTGGCCGTGCGACTGGGGCAGAGTCTGTTACTAAAACCAGCTGTTTCTTTGATTCAAATGACAAAACATCTGTCTGTGTCACACTTAAGTAGGTCGCCTCATGCTTCTGAGCAAAGCCTGGTTCTGTTCAGATCAGTGAGAGTGGGTAGACCATAGACTGTGTGTACAAATGGACATACCCAACCCTTTAGATGCCACACGTTCCAAATGAGTAGTTTTCAGATTCTAGAATGCGATGATGTCTCTCAGATGGGGGGCAAGTGCCAGTTTTTTCTATTGATTACATTGTACTTTGCCATTGAATATCTAAAACACAAACGCACAAATGTTGGTCATTTCTACGACTGACTAAACCAAAAACTCACTGTATTAAAAAACAAATCTGCATTTTAGCAATAATAATTTTAGCTGACCCCCATCTGTATGAATTAATATTGGCCTATATAATGTTGTGATGTCATCTAAAACCCAGCAACAGGAAAGTGAGCATGGGAGCGCTTTCAGCTCCACTGACTCTGGCTTCAATTGACTTTACCATGTTGGTCCCATAATGTTCGTATTAACCCATTCTTCATGATCCTGATGTTTTTATTTTGTGGTTTTGTCTGTAAATAAATTCCTTTTCTTGATATAGAACTCAACTCCAAATTCGCCCTTTAACTGCCAGCCTCTCTGAGCTTCATTTGACTGGAGCTGAACGCTGTGGGTGACGTCACACTCCCTTCGTCCACTTCTATATACAGTCTATGTGACAGGGGATATAAGTCTTATCTCAAATAGATCTTATTGTAGCCTTGCCCTGGTCTGAACAGAACCATGGCCCCACAATCTTCATTCAACCAGCGCTTTTTGTTCATATTGGTCTCTGTGAGATGACATGAGTTGAATGCAAAGTGAAGTCTTCTTTTTTTTTATTTGACATTTTACGTGTGCTCCCAGGACCAGTCAGTCCGTCGTTGTTTAGCAGAATAAGCTGAATATTTTTTAAACGCCTAAAAAATAAAAATGTTATATATTTGTTTATTGTGGAAACACTGTGCAAATGATTTTGAACTTCCTGAATGCTCTGACAGTCAATATGAAGAACAAAAGACAACATCTGTACTGTATACTTTCAACTAGATGCACCAGTTAGTTAAGCAAATCTGTATTAATTGGCTTTGCACATAGAGTATAATGTTATTGTTATGAGACCATTACATCAAATTTCATATCAGCTTCCTGTCAACCATGTTTGTGCTGCACAGTGGTGGATGAAATACTCAATTTTGTTACAGATACAAAAGTAAAAAGGTGCTCAAGTAAAAGTATCACATGAAAAAATCTACTGAAATAAAAGTATTAAAGGACCTGTTTAAAAATGTACTTAAAGAGTAAAATGTAAGTATTTTGCAGAGATTTTTAGAGCAATTAAAGGATGAAATGTAGTGATTTTGAAAAAGAATTTAGCAGATTTGATTGATTTCGTAATTTTTCAAGCCACTTTTGTGTTTTTGGTTTGGTCAAAGTTGGGACAGAAACTCAAATGTGCTAAAAAAAAAAAGAATCAGCCATTTTAGGTCACACATTGTAAAGAAAAGTACTTTTTAATTTTCATTCCAGATCTAAAATGTAGTAGAGTAGAAAGTACAGATACACGTTCTCAAATGTAGTGAAGTAAAAGTAAAAATATCCACTGTAAAATGTTCAGATACATAAAATTTGTACTTTTACTTTTGTACTTTGTTACCTTCCACCACTGGTATTAGAACACGTTTGACCGAAAGCTATTTACACAACATCTGGTACAGCTTTATCTAAGAAATATCCTCAAAATAAAACATCTTAAAGACATCTTATAACATCTGTTCCATCAGTGAAATATGCATGTAATGTAACTATGGCAACATGGGGTAAGTCTGTTTTTAGATCGCGCTGTACCAGGCTGTTGTAGATGCCATAGACTAATTATTATTTCTGGTGAATTCAAAATAATGTAGTCTATGCAGAAGGGAGCAGGGAGTGCTTTGTCTGTGTGCTGTATGTCTGAATACTGAATACTCACATGCAAACATCTGTACAGTATCAACAATGCTACGATGAACCTGGAAAATTAGTTTGCTTCTTTCCAAAACCAATAAAAGTGATACATGTAAGACTCTAGACTGTCTCCTCTGTTCATATTACAAGAGTTCAAGAGTACTATTTTCATACTATTTTCAGACCTATGTTATAATGTTTCCTCTTTACAAACAGACCTGGAGTTGTGTGTGTTTAATGTTTAAAGGTACATTTTGTAACTTTTCCGGTGGAGGGCTCGTTGACTACTTTTCTCCATGGAGATGTTATTGCTTTGTCTGGATTGTTTTACTGTATGTTATTAAACCTTTCTATCTTCATGAAGACCAAACCAAGTTACAGGTCAGCTCTGTGGAGAGGTTAAACCCACTCGCAGTTAGAATGCCTGTGTTTCTAGATATTTTATTTTTGAGCTTTAAACCACCTGTAATTTAATACATGTAAGATGGAGCTGTTTTAAGTCATACTGTGGACGGACGGTGATGGACCCCGAACCAAAAAGTTACATAGTGCACCTGAACACTTAAACCTGTTGTGTTCTTCTCTGACAGAAAACACTCTGTTCCACCTTGTGATGTCATGTGGTGATATAGGAACTGCTACACTGTTTTGAAACTCCATACACCTTCATTACAGTCACTGGATCACTAATTTCAGGTATGTTGTCCATGTACATTTTGTGTAATATATGAGCTTTTAATAGGATATTCTCTTTTTTTTTTTTTTTTTTTTACGTAATTACAAATCCATAAATCTCATTTTTAGGAAGATATGCTTCAGCATTGACATGGGAATTGTGAAAATCCAGCAAATAGTCTAAAATCTATCGGATAACCACTCCCAGACACCAACTATACCAGTCCTTTAATTTACCTTAAATAATACAGTATGTTTCCATTTATAATCAGAGTAAATCAGACAGTTTAAGGCAAGGGTTATCAAACTAAGGGCCGCGGGCCGACTCTGGCCCTCTATACCTCTTTGACTGGCCCCCAGCATCTCATGCCGCCCATCACTTGAACTGACCCTATGACGGCCTCAGTCCTTTTCCAGTTTTTTTAATATAATTTTTATTATATTGTTATTATATTGTCTGAAAATATGTTCCCTAAAGAGTACAGACCAAGTCAAACATATGAAGAACAAAAAGAGAAACACTGAAGGCAGTTTATAATTTTTTTTTAAATATTTATTTTGTTTGTTTTTTTTGCTCTGATTTAAACCTTCACAAAATAATCATATATTATTTTTAACAAGGCTCAGTCCCGTGGTTAAATTACCAGTCAGTAGTTAAAGTTTGGGACACACTGTTATAATGTGTTTTCTTGCATCCAAAACCCCAGAGAATCAAAAGGAAAGGGAAGAGTCTAAAGTGGAGCAAAGTGAGTTTTCTTCTGGGTATTTACCCTGAACAAACCTTCTCAAAAGAACTACACATTCCTTGGCTAAGGTTCCATCTAGTGACTTAACTCAGAAGAAACTCCCTCACATTACCCCAGGTCTTAAACATCCTGGATTTTCCCCCTCCTCAGATCTTTTTTATTTCCCCCTGAAAACAGAGGGAATGGGGAAGTGAACATCAAGCCTCTTCATCATAGTTAGCGAGACCATCATAGAACTATACATATACACAAACATATACATCATAGAAATTAGGGGTGTCAAATTATCGCGTTAATTGCGATTAATTAATTACAGTCATATTTAGCGCGTTATGTTTTTTAATCGCGTTAATCTCATTTTTAATCTCTAACTTTAGTGTTTCTGTATGCGAGTTGCTTTATTATAAAACCTGTTTTTATGTGTTGTTGGGACAATAACAACATACACACACACACAAAAAACACATTTATACATTTTTTTATTTCGGTAATTCCTCTCATTGCCGGAAACCCACACAAAACGCGCGCAGTAAGAGCGATGTAAACATCATCTTAAAGTTGGCGGCGTCAGTCACAGTGGACGAGGTCGAAGAGCCAGTAGAACAGAGGCAGCAGTGCACAGGTAAAAACGCATTAGTGTCTTGGAAATTATTCTCCCAACGTGAAATATAAAAGAAAATAACTAATATAAAATCGCCTACAACTTAAATGTCACTGGTGAAAACAACCTGCATAGGCTCATGATGTCTGCACTACTGTCCTATAGTGACCTGCCACATGAGGGGACACGCACACAAACACACACAAATACACACAAACACAAACACACACCTTCATCATCGTCATTAACCTGAGAACGTGCGGACCACGTTTCCTTCCGTAGTTACTGCGCGGACACCGACGTGCTCCCGTGCGCCGCGTGTGGATCGTGTTTTCTCGCGTACGCTGCGTAAACCGCGCTTCCTCCTGTGCGCCTCTAAACCAGAACTAACACCAAGACTAAAACCGGGACTAATCCAGTCCAGGACTAAACCAGGACTAAACCAGAATTAAAACCAGAACTAAAACCAGGTCTAAACCAGAACTAAAACCAGAACTAAAACCAGAACTAAAACCAGGACTAAAACCAGGACTAAACCAGGACTAAACCAGAACTAAAACAGAACTAAAACCAGAACTAAAACCAGGTCTAAACCAGGACTAAACCAGGACCAAACCAGAACTAACACCAGGACTAAAACCAGGATTAATCCATTCCAGGACTAAACTAGGACTAAAGTAGGACTAAAGCAGGTCTAAACCAGGACTAAAACCAGGACTAAAACCAGTGATCTCATATATAAAGCATTTCTCTATCAATAATATTTTTAATATAGTTAAGGAAAGACTGGACTTTTTATTGT